AAAAGTCTTTATATTAAGTGAATCAATAAACAAGCTAGGCCGTACATTGCGTCAAAATATACTTCAGATTACAAAATTTCAGACAATATGAAATGAAAACTTCACAGATGTAAGAAATAAATCCCGACGTATGATTTGCATATAAAATAAAAAACAATTAAACAGACACCAAATCATGAGTAGACAATGTATTATTCAGCGATGTATCACAGTAGGCATATCATGTTGCGACACACATAATGTACTTCTTCATGTTCCGGGCTAATTTGCATCTCATCTATAATGACGACCTTTATGAACAGACCGAAACGATGAATCAACCCTTGGAATGATATAAATTACAGAAACATAATGCAGTTGACGATAAAGATATTAGTTGATCAAACTTACGGCTAATGTCTGAAAAAGCATGTGGTCCTCCCGTACCTTTAAAAGCATAGCGGTGCTGGTTCAGGCCGTACATGCTCGTCTGTGTAGCTCTGACAAACCCCCACATTGCGCCGGCTGCCGGGACCCGCCACCGTACGTGTCTGCTTGAATAGCCGGGGCCAACGGCTCGTCGCCCGGTACCCGTGCGTGCCACGCTCAGCTATCTCACGAAAATCAGCAATGAAAATATCAATCGGTGAATGATTACCGTAGCACGGCCGACGCTAGTATTATGCTTTCGAGATAGGAGAGCCGTATACCCGACAGCAACAACAGGCCTAAAATGCCAACAACATGGCGCGAAGTCGGCGAGTAACCTTTTAACTGAGTCCTTATTACACGGATATAGGCGTCTATATTTAAATTTGCATTTAGCTTACACCCCCACGTGCTACAGCGCTGCACCGTTAATGTGCATTTGGGGTTTCGAGCGCGCATTTCATTAGAAGCGTTTACATGTTGCAAGTGGTTCAAATTTGGAGACATTAAACGTGCTCCAAACCATTATTAGATGAAAGACACGCATGGAACCGAAGATGCCCGGGAAACGTTTGCTTTACCGTGTAATTATTGTTGTACCCCGCCTCATTGTAACCATGTTGTTTAGCACGCACATAGTTCTTGTTGCGGTAGGTCCTTGACTTTTCTGTCCCAGACAGGACTTAAATTACACCTTATGTTGGGCTTTCCCCCTAGAGCGACCCTTGCTCTATCTGAGGTGTGTCCGCTTGCACACAAGGAATGACTGTACCATATTACTTTCGGAGCCTGTACCTTCATAATCCAAGCTGGCTATAAAAGCCTATAACCAACCAATTTCGAGCACGCTGTGCACATTTTCAGAGGCCCCTCCAATGGTGAAAGCACTGTGCCAGTTATATATAGCAACTGCCTCAACACGGATTATCTACACAATAGCTAGCGCAATGCTTTCAGCCATTGGAGGGGGCCTCCTCGGGTGTAGCGACTAGCGCGCTAACATGCATTTTCATGTAACCAACGCTCCTTTTCGGCTTGTTGCTGAAATATAATCGAGGAATCCATCCTAAAATAATCTCTAACACTTGCTGTACCAAGTTGTGAATTATCATGAGTTTCATTCCAAGCAGTTTTACCTACTCCGCCACATTGGACATGCAGATTCGCGCAAAAGAGCGCGGCAGAAAGAACCAGAAAAAAACGGGGAAAAAATGAGGATCGGCACTAAAGTTTGTCAGGGGAAAGGACAAACTGGCGGTCGGCTGCAAGTGAAAGGCCTCGGCATCCATTACCCATCCGTCACGCATGAGATCTCGTCGTTTCACGTTCACACCTCGAGAAGTCCCGGCACTTCCGCAGCGAGTTGGAATCAAGTGCTCGCGGAAAAAAATCTGAGCGCCTGCCCTAGAAAGAGGGTCCAGGTATAGTAGTCATGCAGGCTCCCCCCCCCCCTTCTACACCCTCTCCCACATTCTGCACCCTTGATTTTCAATGCGATATCAAGTCAGTACCGCATACCACGTTATCATGCATACAGCGAATCTCTAAAATGACATGCCGCGTACTTTCAAAATGACGCCGTTTCTTTGCATGACAACGTTTCGGTGGTTGTTGACGGTGGCATATAGGCCGGAGGAGTAGCATGTGAAAATATATCAGGAGTGCAGGCGAAAACGCGAGCAGGGCATATGCCCTCGTGTCACCGTAAAGCACGCTGGAGATGACTTCAAGTGGGCAGGAGGTGTCATCGATACATCAACCCGTCGCATCGTGCTTTGCCTCGTCTACTCCTCCTCCCGCATCATCTTCCTCCTTCAACGAGCTCAGGAGAACGGTACAACGGGAGAGGAGAGTGGGAGATGCCGGCTGCAATCTCGCGGAGAATGGCGGGTGCGCGCCGGCTCGCTGCCAGGCACAGGCCCGCCGGTGTCGCTTACCCCATTTCGGTGCTGGAGAGGGCATTTCCGTGAGTGGTCGGTTGATTTATTCATTGCAGTGTCAGGTTTTGGGGGGTGGGCAGTGTCGGAGCTCCGAGTCCCGCGCTTAGGCAGCAGAGCAGACCTAGTCAGGGCGTCAGGGATGGCTCCAAAGGCTTTAATTGCCGGACTTACGGGTATAATTGATCGACCTGATTAATTGCTTGATGCCGTTTTGTTGAAATAATCCAAGGGCGGTAATTCAAATTGTCGTTAATTTTCTTTAATCATTCGCGCCTTACGCGGTATATAAAAAAGCAGTTTCTGAATAGGAGGGAAACATGACCAAGATATCGGAATGCTTTTTATTAAAAGGAATAAAGTTGATGCTCAGTAAACTCCTTTACCTTTTTAAATACTTTTTCTAATCGAATGTGGAAGAAGTGCTCGCTCAAGTAGAACGAGCAAGAATAACCTTTCGACAGCATCAAATAAAGGTAATTGAATGCATCCTTAAACAAACTGAACAGCGGCTTCAATTATTTTTCAGTGTATATAGTTTACTTTGAAATTTTTTTTTTTGCCTTGCAGAATGCTGGGCTTTCCAAATTCCATTGGGTCATTCCAAAACTTTGTGAGATTGAACCTCCGCGCAGTCTCAAAAATCAAAGACAACCAAATTTGAATGGACCAGTCATGATTCGGAGAGATCCCTGTATTTATCGCTCTTTTTTTGGGTTGCATTGGATGGCCGTGTCGTCTGCTCAAACAGATCATGGCGCTACGCGTTCAGTGAGCACTTTAGCCCGGCACTTCACCGTGGCTGGCCCGTAATGATGATGCTTGCACGCTCGAGCTGTGGTCCACTTCAAAAGCACACCACACGGTACGCGTATGTTCAGGCTGTCTACCGCACAACAAGCGAACGAGGGCTAGGATCGCGACCAGTTTCGAAGCCCTTGACTTATGATTCGATACACTCGCCATACAGCTCCTCCTTCGTTGCTCACTTGTGGGGCGCATCAATTTTATTTTGAGCCGAAATCGGGCAAAATATCGGGAAAGAGGAAGAAGAAAAAGAAGTATGTGAAGATTTTGGAGTGGCCGGGCCGCGGTAGACTGAAGGGGCCAATCCAGATCGCTGGCCGAGTGCTTTATTTGAAATAAATACATCAGTAGTGTTGATGCAATTGCACTTTTTTTCTTGCTTGTTCATCAATTTTGTGGTCGTCTAACATAACGGGCTTGAAAAACTCGAAAAGTCTTCTTTTTTTTCTCGGCAGATGTGCTTGCAAGTTTGTACGCAGCTCTGCTAAAGTCGCGATTTTCGCGGGCTGCAAGTATTTCACTGATTTCACTGATTTTCCTTATTTATAATTTTTGGGGGCTGAAATTATTCGTTGGAGAGTACGGAATGGCCACTGGCTATCAGTGATGTAGTCGAGTCGATCTCATCCGAGTCAGGGCCTTAACTGGGCCGTGAAATATCTGGGGGCACCAGCCACCAGGGAGAGCACATTTTTTTTCCAAGAGGGCACTGAAAGTAATTGAACCGAGGCTTGCCTTTTTCGTTTTTGGACTGATAAAGACCTACCTGCATGTATGTAATCTGGGTGCTATAGCTGTTATACTTTTTGAAACACAGACCACGGGTAGTTGAGCTCCCGTTGTTAACAACTTATACCAACACAAATTTAGACAAGTGAATTTTCTGTGGTTGTGCTTTGGGGAAAGGTGTTTGTGGAGTCCGTCTTTTTAGGAGTTAGGGACTCCGCCATTTCGAACCTACGGATACAACATAGTTTGCACTCCAGCGTTACATTGTCGAATTCCCGATCTATCTCTAACTAATGTTAGGCTTATATATTAGTTTTGTATGACTGATTGTCTGAAGCAGTGGATTTTGTTCTCAATAAATTTGGAGCATGGCCGTAACTATACCTCAAATACTGAGCACACACCCAAGAAGGAATGTATAAATGAACGTATGAACAGCTACAAAATCAGTTCATAAACTTAATGAAGAGCATACTCACGGGGACGAAATTTATTGCGAATACCCGCTCAGAAGTATGTACGGCATTCACTGTTTCAAAACTTCCAACACATCATCTAGGCCTACCTACTATACTATTCGTCGAAATCGATGTGTAGCCTATACGTATTCGTTCCGACAATGCATGTGCTCAACATGCTCAACCATTCGTAATTATTGCGGACGTAGTTTGCCCATCATTGGCGTAAATTGGCGTACGCGTACGTAATAATGCACAGTGCATGTACTTAACATAATACAACCATTCGTAATTATTGCGGACGTAGTTTGCCCATGATTGGCGTACATTGGCGTGTTTCCCCCCCCCCCCCCCCCCCATGAACGGGAATAACAAAAAAAAAGTGATGCCGTTTTCGTGGCCGTGGTGACTAGTGCAGGTCACAGGTCACGCAAAATCTATATCCACTGTCAGAGCGTGAATTCATCAGCCCTTCCCAGCGACCTGTGCATACGGGGTACGAGCGAATGTACAGTTTAGCCACCACACTGAAAACTATGGCGTGCAAATTATTTTCATACTGAAATATAGAAACCTCTACGTTACTGAAATCTTCTTAATATTCCATTTCAGGTGACAGTGTGAACGACTTGCAACAGAACAGAGATTTATAACAGAGATATCTCCTTCTGTTATTCGAAATAACTTTATGTTAACTTTGCATATGTAACAATTATAATATTAAAAGTGCATGCCTAATCTGATACTCGTATATCTTGTGAAAAAGTCTGGCAAATATTGTTAGAAATTGAAATATCGAGGATTCTTTTAATGAGGGTTGACATATTTGTTTTCATTTTAATTTTGCTTAATAGAGAACAGCACTAAATATCACCCACTGCCTCTAGCAGTATGTGTTTGATAAGCAATGGATCACCAAACAATGCGTCGAACTGAGAAAATAGACTGCAATCCGCCATCAAAGCACTAAAAATGAAAAGAAAAAAATAGTAAACATTTTGAGAGAAAAGCGTACTAATTTGATGAGTTGTTTACAAATGAGATATAAAAAAAAAGGTAATTCAAAAGGATAATAAACAAATGTTTGTAGAAACTGACAAAGCAATTAAAAGTCCAAAGCAAATAGAACAATTTTGTTTTTAGAAATTTCGTAGCACACAGTACTAAAGCGAGAGCATGCGGTCAGTATGCGGGCGACGTATATTACGCCCTCTTCCGGTCAGTTATAACTAGGCGAATATTGATCCAATCAGCTTCCTTTCCCTTGTCTAGCAGCATAATTAAGTTGCTTGGTGGCGCTATATCGTATTCGTTTATCGCACACAAGCATTGATAAGGTGCGAATGCACTACAACCATGTACTTGCAAAAATAAAAGAGAACTAAATGAAAACAAAAAGATATTGGGAAACGAAATTATAAAACTGGGGACATGTCAAACGCAGACGACAATGCGTGAGTTGCGGGTGCGCCGTTTTCATCCAGTCTGCCAAGCTTCCCGCTCTGCTCCAACTCCTGTGCTTTCTCGCCATTTCTCGCCGACGTCACCAGTTTCTTGTGTCGCCGAGTCATCGGGTCCATGCCCCGCTGCTTGCTGTTCCACACCCCATACGCTAAATAAATGACAACTCCTACGAACAGACCAAGATTGGAAGGACACTTTTAGCGGAGCGAAAGTAGGGCGTACGGCATGAGCTGCCACAATTTAAAGGACGGGGGGAAACAATTTTAATTTGAATATATGAAAGTTCACACAAATTAGACCATTACCGTGGAAATTTCAAATCTTCTTGTAAATACCACGCGAAGAAATTTCGGGGTACAAAATGTTGGTCCCAAAAAATGAGCTACAGTTGTCATTCTGGTCACACATATATCTTCAAATAAACAATTATCTGAAACGTCATTGTGTGTATTAAAGTCTGAAACTACCCGTAGTGTGGAATATGATTTCAAACAGTGAACGGTCAATCTTAGATTTACATTCTAAATAGCGCCAGACTTTGCTTAAAATTTTCTCAAATAGTGATGGCTGTATTTACTGCTGTCACGCCAAATCTATACAAACAAGGTGTTTTTTTTTCAAATGGAAGACATATAACACAGTAATCTCGTCTCCAGATGAAGCTGTTCCTTGAACTCTCTGTCCCTGCGATTGTCAAAAAAAAAAGCATTTGAGCACATACCTACACACATGCAGGTCAGGTAACGGACCCACGTCAGTCTATCTATCTGTACAAGCAGGTAAATGTTGATGAATAGACTGGTTGCCGGTATCAAGGGCACCATCGGGACCTGCAAAACGATAATTGGTTTGGACTGATGGTCAATGCAGTTCACGACCTGAATAATATCGGTTAAAGGCAAGCATTTAAAGGCTACACGGGTCGGCATAGTATACTCATCCACATGTCTGCACTAAATTTGTCTCGAAAACATTTAAAAAAAAACACCGAAAAGAAACAAACAAATGTTTTGAAAAGCAGATGGAGATGCTACAAAATGTCTCTTTATCAAGCGTGTGGTGGCGCTGTTACTTTTCGCCATTTTTCTGAGTTGTATTCCATACATGGACGAATACCTCGTATGCTGATTTGCTTCTTAAAGATTACTTAAAACATACGAGGGGGATACGAGGGCGGTTTATTCAAGAATTTCGGAAAGGCTTCGTACCTTTTTTCCTTTTAATTGTATTTATGAATAAGACAGTCAAACTGAACGCCATTATTTATTGGCAGAAAATGACAAAATCGTCGCTATTAGCACAGGCAAATTGAATGTGTTCAATTCAGATGTGTTTACTTTGAATGCGAGCACGGCATTGCTCTGCGGTTGTCTGGCTATAACTATCAACAGGATGACGATGAGGGCGCTCATTAATGACGTCACCGCCAAAGCCCATGGCTCCTTGTTCAGCAGGCAGTCACTGGCGAACACAATGACTGACGATATACCTATGAAATTAAGAGCTGAAATCAAGCAAAGCAGTGTTAGTCAGCTTGGCCGACATTATATTGAATCTGAATATTCCTGAAATTCTTCGACGGCTCAAGAGCCTCAAGCCAATTTTAACCAACAGAGGGCGACATACCGGTAAGACAGTAAACGACCATTCATTGAAGTAAACTGTACAAATGTGACATCAGTATCACAGTTCCAAAATTGCATAAATCATTAGTTTCCCAACAATATACAGTGTCCGTGTTCTTTGATCGGTTCTGAAGGAGTAGACTGCAAAATGAGGGTGCTATATTTTAAAAACTATTTGAAAGGGTAGTTAATTAAGTCCTAGGGCAAAGATGACAAACATCTCTCTTATCGATTGCTTACTTAATAGAAATACTGCAAAAGTCACCACCCTTGACGAGAGTACGGTGGCCTCGGCATACCGTGGCTGCACAGCTTGATTGAGGAGGGATGCAAATGAGTCCATAAACGTCGCATGTTCTCCTTCACCCACCGTAGGATACAGATGAGTTGCGGCTGCAATAGACTCGTAATCTGGTTCGTATCTGCACAGTTATCGTTATTAAATAAAATAATACCATTAGCCCAATGTATGCTGTGGTTTACAACGGGACCAATATGGAGAAGCGGGGAATGGCGCCCTCTACTGCTTCACGTCAGCACTTATCCGGTAAGTTAGTGGCTGCGTCATACGTATATACACGCGAACGCACGATTACTAATGCCCATTGGTTAAACACACCACTTTAGGCCAAAAAAAAGTCTCCGGTTTCTGGTATGCGCGCGCGTCGCCGTAGCCATGCGCGTCGGCAAAATGAAAAAGTTTTTTTTTCAATACAAGATGATGTTTCAAAACCGCCAAACTCACTGGTTTGACTGGAATTCTGCTGCTGCACAATTTTAACGTGTTTTTAGAAGGGGTTATGATCGAGAATAAGATTTATGTGGCCTCTCTGGACTCCCATATATTTGCACTAAGTTTAGTCGGGCACCATTTGCAGTCATCAGCCGACATTTGAAGCAAAAAAAAAAAAAAAAAACAGGTAAAAAAAAAAAAAAAAGCCGCGTCGCCGCACCACTTTTGGGGCAAGCTCCATACCAGAAACCGGAGACTTTTTTTTTGGGCCTTACTCATAGTTCTAGTGGTTCCAATGCTACTCCGTGTGCAGTGGGCGTGGTTTAAATTGAAATGACGTCACACTTACGAACCGGATATCCATGAAATTAAGAAAATAATATGGCAAGAAAAGCACCTCAGTTTCATCACGCTGGCGGCTACCAGTCCGTACGGCATGAGAGTTCCTGCAGCCACGATCGAGACCAGCGAACCAATGTCAAGTAGCATGCCCATAACACCTAGATATCGCAAAATAGAGTTGAAACATTCACGTAAAACACTGATCCCCGGAATTCGTCCACGCAAAAATAACCAGTTTTTAAAGGATGGTTGTGTGGATGCTTATATCATACTTTAAAATGTTCTTTCCAATGAATATCATATTGTTTAAAACGCATTTTGTGGCCCAATTGGGCGCGTTCCAAGACGTAATATCCCTTTAAACCTCGACGCATATAACGGGTTGCACTAGTATACCTGCTACCACGCCGCAGAAGACACAGGCGTTGACGGGCATTTTGAAGCGCTCACTCACGGTAGCCAAGCATTCGAAGAGCAGACCATCGGAGGCCATGGAGTAGATAAACCGCGGAAGGGCGAAAATACATCCAATCAAACTGGGGGAAAAAATCCGGAAAAAGAACGATACTTTTATCTTCAGCTAGTTGGTAAGAGTTTATTTATGATGCAGACGAAAATGACTCGTTGTGCAGATATACGGACCATGGAGGAATGAACTGCTCCACCCGTGTGGTCTTCAAATTTGTGGTGTGCTCTGTTTACAAAGAATTTGGATCTTTGTCGGACCAGTTAAAGATGGATCTTGGCAATAACATGTTTTTTTTTTCTCAGCGAAAGTTAACATCTTTGGTGTATAGTGGTTATATACCCGTTAAATATTCAGACTGGTCATTCTGCAGGTTGTGGGTTCGATTCCAGCCTGGGTTTATGGTGTGTGTACCCTTGGGCAAGGCACTGTGTCACTCATTGCTTCTCCCAACCCAGGAGTAAATGGGTATACCTGTGAGGGCAGAGATTTTAGCTGATTTGCGCCGAAATGGCAGCATCGAGCTGTATACTCCCCAGGGAGCTGAGATGGTATTTGGAATGTTTCAGTGGCCCAATGAGCAGGGTAATAATGATGTAGCACCTTGAGCATCACTATAGGTGGATACCTGTGCTTTATAAATATGCATTATTATTAAAACTAGTTTGAAAAAAAATACCTGGTCATCAATCCCACAATGCCGCCCACCGTGACGACATACTTGGCCACCGTCCAGCCAATCCGCCCAAAGGCTTCAGGTAAGGGCGCCCTCTCGTCCAGCAGGTAGTAAGGGCACATCATGGTCAGCACAATGGACACACAGAAGAAAGACAGGAACACGAAGAAAACCGTTGCCATGGTGCTCAAGGGGATGGACCTCTGGGGGTCGTGCGCCTCCTCGGCTGTGGGATAGAGGTTGCAAGTGTAACCTTTTTCGATACCACCTATCCGATGTAGACTGGTTCCCAGTCCCTCCATCATCAATTCTAACTCCGCATGTATTATTGATGTACCCTAACGTGGCGCGGCCCCCAACGTGGCGCACTTTGACTTTTCGCCTGTATTGCCTAGCTAGAGCAAAAGTTTTAACTGAAATTTCACAGAAAGTGAAATTTCTTCAAGTTCTAAACACTTCCGTTCATAAATCACAAGTTTATCTTCCAGTTACAAAATTAGAAGAAAATTGTATTTCGGCATGATTTCCCGATTTTATTTCGAAGTGCACAGCGAACCCTTTGAAAATGTCCCACAACAATAGAAAATAATTTGTTGACAAACTTCTAGTTGGAGATGCAAGTAGAGATAATATTTGTTTATCAGAAATTATCAACTTTACAGAAATTGTTAAATGTTAATTTGAAATTTTCCGAGATTTATTCAAGTGCGCCACGCTGGGGAACACTCAGCCGATTTGTGCCTAATTTACACCACCGTTTTTGAATTTTGGATTAAATTTCATGAAACTGAAATTGTTCACAGAGGTTAAATAGCGAGCATTAATAAGGTCAATGTACCAGTATTTCACTGAATGAATTTGAAGTTTGTCAACAAAGAAGTTTGGCAACACTGATGTGGAAAGTCGGGGTAAATGTCGAAGTGCGCCACGTTAGGGAACACCACTATATAGGGACCAGTATACTATACCCTGTGGAATTAACATACACCGAGCCATATTGATATTCCCACAATGCAACGAGCCTTGAGTACCCTCTAGGTATCTAAAAACTAGTCTAATTCACGAGAATGTGGCTATATTCAACTCGCGTCACTGGGGCGCCCTGCGATCATCCTGCACCGGCCAACGCCCCCTGAATGGGGTCAAACGAAGAAAACTCGTGGGACCCTTACTTTAGAAGTTACCAAAAAAAGGTATAGAAATCTTGCATTTGATTTTCGTGTGATAGCTGAATTCAAGCTTCATTTGACCAGGGTTTTTCTTGTTAGATTCCAGACACTCACCCGCTGTTGAGATGACATCGAATCCGATGAAGCCATAGAACCCCATGGCTGCACCAACCATTACTCCACTCAGACCGTACGGCATGAAACCCCCAGTGCCGTAGCTTTCACATTGCTCTTCGGACGTCTGGTTACCAGGCAACACCTTGCAAGGCCCCTTGGGTAACTGGTCGGCTGGGATGTGCCAGTAGCTGGCGTCCAATCGGAACAGGCCGCAGACGATGACGTAGATGATGATGAATAGGTTGACGGCGGTGAACACGTTGTTCACGTTGGACGACATTCTGGCGCCAAAAGCGAGAGCAACTGGAAAGGGGAAAGCTTCATCTCAATTTTCTTTCTTGTCTCGGTTAAACACACCTTTTCTCGTCTTGGACCCGAGTACTGAGCCGAAGTCACCACACTAAATAAAGACAGTGTCCTAACTCCCTCTAGCCAAAACTAGAAGTAAACCAAAGTTTTGAACATTTCCGAGGCACATAATAAGTTAAAGGCCGTTTCCAAAAACCTGGTTTCGTCTGCCATGAGGCTCCGGCTTAGCCTCACGTCTTCATCATTTGGTGTTGTTGCATTATACTTTAATGCTGCCTACCTGATAATGCTAGGCACATTGCCAAAGCGATGAAATCCGGGTACTTTGCCAAGATGCCGGATTCCATTGGCAGAGTAGACAACATGTACGCCTCTATACGGTTACCAGCTAAATCGTCTATGTAGGCACTGGCACTGCGCGCAACGGAACCAGCTCCTGTGTAATGGTGGTCAGTTCAAAAGAAGAAGTGTCAAGAAATTTGGCAGTTAAACGCAGTACATGTACAACAGTTTTTGGATATGGTGGACAATATAACTAAGGACACTGGTTTGGGCAAACTCTTTTGTATTTAAAATAGCGCCCTCCTATTATGACTGCCGGTGTAGCATGAATTTAGGTTTTATGAAATACGGACTCATTGGTGGTATTGCGCATACTCATGCATAGATAATTAGAAGAGGGACCGGTCACGTGAGAGGGTTTAACCAATTTAAGGGAAAGAGTCCAATTTTCATATGACACCGGATCACCAACAAAACACCCCACTAATGTCGGAATTGCACTGCTTTAAAATTGTAACAAAGTAGAGTAGAATAAAAACAAGAAGATAGGTACAAAGATACTAGGTAAACCCTCTAGCTAAAACTGACCAATGGCGTTTTGGAGAAAGACGCTCCAGCCCACCAGGAACGCCCAGGCCTCTCCCATGCAGATGTATGTGTAGACGTAGGCGGAGCCAGCCTTGGGAACGCGTGCCCCGAACTCGGCATAGCAAAGAGCTGGGAAGAACAAACAAGATTCTGAAGTCACTTTTGTTTGGGTCTGGATAAAAGTAAGAAAACGTGCAGTCTAAAGTGTGAGGCTCCGATCGTATGACGTCAAAGTACCACGTTACTTTTTGCTCAGCAAGTAACTCGATCTCGTGTACGGCGGGCTTTAAAGTATGAGACGAGTACTTTGTCATGAGTATGGTTATGAGTACGAGTACGCGGGTATTATAGTACGGGTACGACGAGTACATTCTTCTAATGAGTACGAGTACGACTACGAGTACCAAAAATGTACTCGAGTACGGTCCGAGTATTAAACAACAACACTCGATACAGCATTTTTTATTTCTTGCTTGAAATCAACATGACGTGTGAAAAGGAGCGATCTCTCCCAGTGTAATCTTTGCAAAACCTAAATCGAGTTTCATCGAAACATATATCGAGTTGCTTACCAGACAGTGTGGCGACAATGGCCGCGATCAGGAAGGAGATAATCATGGCGGGTCCGGCCGTGAGTTTGCCCAGCACACCGGTGACAACATACACCCCGGCCCCTAGGGTGTTCCCCACCCCCAGCAGCACCAGGTCAAGGGTCGACAGGTACTTCCGTAGGTGGCTCTCTCTCTGGGTTTCTTCGGTGATGTTCTTCTTGCGGGTCAGAGCCCGTGCGATTGCACGTAGCACCATGTTGCCCTAGGCTTCGTCTGAACCCCACACCACCTATTTGCTGGTATCGGCGTCTCGACAACTGCACCACCGGTTGGGCTGTCTTTGTTAGTTAGAATCCTGTATTGCGAGTTCGAGTAGACCAACTATGTCACCAAATTTACCGACTCTGATGGGTTGTAAATTCCAATCACACTTTAAATACCAAACTATTATACAAAAACAACACAAAAACATTCCGGTATCCGGCTAAGACATTCCATCCCATGAATTAAGACGATCGCCAGAAAGGTTGTGGGTACATCATGCCAGGCGATATGCAATTGCTTTAGCTGAAAAAGGGCTGTTTTCTTGTTTTCTTCTGACATTCCTTCTGCAAGAAAGTGTCTGTAATAAATGTCGCTTGCTATATATAAGTCATGAAAGACTAACTTAGTGTACATCCTTTATACAGCATCGAAATAAAGTTTAGCACAAAAAGTCCATGTATGTCCAAAATCGAAAACCCTTTTTTTTATCTCGACAAATTCAGTTACTTGCACTTCGACGGTCAGCAATATATATACGAACAAGATTATTGTGTTTGATTTTTTGGGCATCTGCGGACACAAAAGCATTAAAAAAAATAGTGAAACGTTATTGCTAGAAATCACTTACACCATTATTTAGGACATTATTTAGGGTCAAAATGACACTTTGCCGACTCATTAACCTCAGCAAAAATGTCATTTTGAGCCAGAAAAGTGTCAATTGTGTCCACGACGCCTTTCTCATTGACCTGTTATCCGGGTTCTCTTCAGCCCGACACTTTTTCAGGGTCAATATTGGTACTGTTTCGGGTCAAAAATCAAAATGACACTTCTCTGACTCATTTCCCGGGTCATTTTGACCCAGAAACCTTCGACAAAAGTCATTTTGAGACAGAAATATGTCAATTGTGACCGTGACAAGTGTCAGGCCGGAGAACCCGGACTTCGGGTCAAATCGGAAAGGGGACCTTCTAGATTGCATTCCGTAAAATCACAAGTGCACATTTCTCCAATACCTTTAAGCCCTAAGAGACGAGCATTTGACGGTAACTCAGTTGACAGAGGAGCAGATGTTGCACTGCCACATAGATGAGGATAGCAACGAGGCAGATCAAGACGAACACCAACGCAGTGATCCAACTTCTGTACGGTATACAGAATCTGTGATAAATACCAATAGGGGAAGAATTAAAATGAATAAGATCTAATCTGGAGGCAAAGCAAGCAACAGACGTCAACTCGCCAATAAGTGCCCGGGTCGACTGTTTCACGGTTACGGTGGATCATGGATTGCGAAAGTATACTTTCTAATGTCCAAAGAAACCAGGGACCTGTTAAGACGAGTGAAAACATGGGCGTCGCTCGACCATATTGAATGGGGGGGGGGGGGGGGGTACCATCATAAAATTTGCCGACGGACCGTCACGCAAAATGGTAGTCTGTAGCACCTTGTAAATCCTTATAAAGGTGCTACATAATGGGTCTCATAGTTCTCATTAACTTGAGGGCCTCCGTGAAAAGCAGTGCCTTGCACTGATTGGAGTTTACCCTTATAATAGATGACGTTAAAAAAAAAAAAAAAGATCATAAGGCCCAAAAAAAAAAGTCTCCGGTTTCTGATATGCGCGCGCGTCGCCGTATCCATGCGCGTCGGCAAAATGAAAAAGTTTTTTTCCAATGAAAGATGATGTTTCAAAACCGCCAAACTCACTGGTTTGACTGGAATCCTGCTGCTGCACAATTTTAACGTTTTTAGATGGGGTTATGATCGAGAATAAGCTTTATGTGGCCTCTCTGGTCTCCCATAATATTTGCACTAAGTTTAGTCGGGCACCATTTGCAGTCATCAGCCGACATTTGAAGCAAAAAAAACAGGTAAAAAAAAAAAAAAGCCGCGTCGCCGCACCACTTTTTGGGCAAGCTCCATACCAGAAACCGGAGCCTTTTTTGGCCTAAAGAGCAGAGATTTATAATTAAATGGTAGTCTGATTTCCCGACCTGACACTTACCTGACCTTCGTTTCATAACTTGCATGTTTATATTTTGAAGCCGTGACAAAGAATGCACAGAAAACACAAGTTACACAACGGTGCGCAAATCACACATCATTACGGATTGGCCAAAGCAATTTGGCGGCAACCCCCTTACGCTGAATGGCTGCCTTAGGATCCAAACGCTGATTGGCTGCCTTAGAATCCTGCCGCCTCAGATAAGATGCTTCGTACAACGTCCGCAATCGTGCGACATTAGGCCTACACGGAAAGCAGGGAAATTTGTACACCGTACACCTCAGCAATATGTTTGCGTTGAGTATAATGAATTTGAAATCTGTTATACTCAAGCTTCAATTAAGGTAGACAGACACCAAGGAATGCGTGTGAGTTACTGAGTTCGTTTCTGCAATGTGACGTTGAAGAATAGAGGACAATACTGAGGTCCACAATTCCCGAAGGTGACGGTCGTGGTACAGAACATATGGGACGTCATCCTAAAAAGTTTAAGTACAAACAAAAGAGGGACAATGGGTCCACGATTGCAGGTAAATCACATTATGTGTGGACACACACGTGCAACATCAACGATGAATCGAGGACAGGAACCAAATCGAGGACGAACTCGATAAGTTTAGAAAACGTGTACAAAACCAATCGGAGCTCTTGCAAAAAAAATATGAGAGTATAGGCCTAAACAGAGGAAAAGGGAAGAGGAACAATAGAAAATCCTCAATTTACACCATAAACAAACCAACCTTGGTGTGTGTGTGTGTGTGTGCCACAGCTTCAAGTTTCATTCAAAGGTAGGGCAAACCGAAAACATTAGGCGGTACCCAAGACCAGTTTAAATACATGTATAAAGATCAGTGGACCCCCTATTGTTCCTCATAACTTTTTAGGAAGACCTCCCATGCAGGCGATATGTTTTTTACACGATCGTCAATCGTAAAACTTCGGGAATTGTGGAACATATTATTGTCCTCTACGTCCCATATCGAATGCATAAACAAACCTACACACACCCGCAAATATTTATTAGACGCCATTTTTCAATTAGATTAAATTCAATAATTCAAATTTGTACGTCGCTTGGGACAAAAAAAACCCAGGTATTCATATTTTCCAGCCAGTACATTTTGTAAAAAGGAAGAGCTCGTACAATTGCCCAAGTTACAGATAATAACAGCACGAGAAATCACTTACCGTATGTCGTGTGGGAAGTTCATGGGCCTTGTCGGCTAAAAACCCCGTCGGACGAGTTGCCCACAGCTACGGTAGATTGCGCTTGAGCCGAATACGGAAACGGATGATTTGGACGGAATTCAACGTTATACTATATTTAGTTGTATAGTGATTTGTGATGGGATATTGCACACCGGAAGCTGCATTGCATTCTGGGAGCCAAACGCTTTGGTCCCGAGTGTTCAGATCTTTGTCACGTGTAACAGTGCCGATTGAAGCTTGCGCAATTTAAAAAAAAAGGATTTCAAAATTTCTGATTTGTAATACAAAAAAATAGTTCAATCCAGACAAGACCGGTTGTAACAATGCCGCACTCGAATTTATTGCGAAATACCAAAACGGCTTGATAAGGCAGTAACTTAAGATCAACACAATCCGGTATTCACTATGGAAGTATGGTATCTTCTCACGAAATGAATAAATTATGACAATCAATCTGGCCTTAATCAACACTCCCTGGGATAACAAAAGATCATTAACAGAAAGTCAATATGACAGCGGTCAAATTCCACTTTGTTTTGCATATAGCATCGCATTAATTAGTTGTCTGCCTAGTTTTGTGCATTTAGATTCGTTATCTGGCGTATTTCACAGAATCATAGAGAAAGTGGTGCACATATTACGCAGTTCAACATGCATTTCAATTGGCTGCAGTTACCAGCAATTTCCCAAGTTTCAGAACATTTTCCATTAGTTTCAATTTGTTTCCCTTGTTTTCTTTTATAGTGGTCACATTTTCTCGGAAATGAAACATTTCCAAAATTTCTGAGAGATATTAAGATACGGTGTCGACACAATGAGACATTCGTAATGTTCATCATGGCGACCTTACTGGTTATAGTATCGATCGGTTTAACAAATCTATCACTGGCACAAAACGTGTATTTGTGTTTGCACTAATAAGAAACGTTCTGAATTTTTAATAACATAATCAATGCTCTGCATTGAACGGTAAGAAAGTAAAGGTTTTCGCGAGCCAATATGGCCAATCAGGCCGGCGCCAATCTCCGATTTCCTTGCCATAAAACGACTAAGAATATTTCTATTCCCCTAGATGGGATTCCATCGCAGGTTACTCCCAAGCTAATGCCGGTACCCATTTTTACTCCTTGGTGGAGAGAGGCAAGTGCGGGTAAAGTGGCTTGCCCGGGGACACAGCATACACATGCAGCATGAATCTGTACTTTTAACAACTGAAAATATTTATATTCCCCCTGGATGGAATACCGTTCCATCGCAGGTTACTCCCCAGCTTATGCTGGTACCCATGAATACTCCTGGGTGGAGAGAGGCAAGTGCTGGTAAAGTGGCTTGCAAGAGGACACAACATATCACAGGCAGCAGGATTCTGTACATTTATCAACTGAGAATATTTTATCCCCCCCCGATAGGATGCCAGTCCATCGCAGGTTACTCCCCAGCTAATGCTGGTACCCATTTATACTCCTGGGTGGGAGAGGCAAGTGGGGTGAAGTGGCTTGCCCAAGGACACAACATATCACAGGCAGCAGGATTCTGTACTTTTAACAACTGAAAATATTTATATTCCCCCTGGATGGAATACCGTTCCATCGCAGGTTACTCCCCAGCTTATGCTGGTACCCATGAATACTCCTGGGTGGAGAGAGGCAAGTGCTGGTAAAGTGGCTTGCAAGAGGACACAACATATCACAGGCAGCAGGATTCTGTACATTTATCAACTGAGAATATTTTATCCCCCCCCCCCCGATAGGATGCCAGTCCATCGCAGGTTACTCCCCAGCTAATGCTGGTACCCATTTATACTCCTGGGTGGGAGAGGCAAGTGGGGTGAAGTGGCTTGCCCAAGGACACAACATATCACAGGCAGCAGGATTCTGTACTTTAACTGAGAATATTTCTATTCCCCCTGGACGGAATACCGTTTCATCGCAGGTTACTCCCCAGCTAATGCCGATACCCATGAATACTCCTGGGTGGAGAGAGGCAAAGTGGAAGCGAAGTGGCTTGCCCAAGGACGCAACACATGGCCAGTAACAGGATTCGAACCCCTGACCCTCTGATCCTGGATCACGAACCCTAACCACAGGCCACACGACCCAAATAGTACAATTACTCCGGTATACATTTCCTCTTTAATTAATTTAAACAAAAAGTTCATAAAAAATTCATTGTGCAAAAATTCAAACTGGAAGCAATGATGACACGAATGTGCTTATAAGAGATCAGGTCGATTTCTTTAATTTGTGGTTTATTAAAATAAACAACAATCACTGTCATTAAAAACTGAGTCGCCATTAACAATGATGAAAATAAAACAACCACTGAACAAACATCGCAAGTATGTAAACACAGTTGATCTGACAACAAAAACCTTATTAGAATGTACTTGTTAACGACATAACGTTTCCCCCTTGGCAGATAAAGCATTCACGTAAAACTCAAAAGACTCGGACAACACAGACGCACCTAAAAACTGTATTAAAACGAAGAAAAAAAAAACGAACCAAAACAGAAGTTCTACACAAAAGAAAGAGAAAATTTGAAATGCGCTAATGGCTGAATGAAATGAAAGAAGTTTTAAAAAGAAATCATGTCGCATGTTCAAATCTAACTAGCAATAATGACTGCATGGTAAATGTTATGAAATGGAAGGGAGGGGCACGCAAGGTTGGGGGGGGGGGCCTTGTTTTTACTCAGGTCCTCAAAATCTACTTAAAATTGAAAATCCAACAAGATATAAGTATTAATACTGCTCAATGGTGGTTCTCCGAGCCGTTTTTTTTTGAGGATGAATTTTTAAAACATAACTATATTCGTTAGTGCTGTGGCCGAGAAAACGTACCTAAAGCCAGCTTGCCAGCTGAAATCGCTACAAAACCAAGCCCGCTTGAGACTATTATTGTTCTCAAGTCTATTTTTGCTTTAATTATGTAAACGTGCTATGGTGAGCAATGTTTTTCTCAATACATGAACATATTTGTGTGAAATAGAAAAATGATAAGATATTTTTTGCAGAGCCGAAGGGCAAGTTTTTTTTTCTTCTGAGCGACTGAGTCACTGTGACTGACTGACTATCTGACTGCCTCCCCAACTGATGAGTCACTCCCCGACTGATTGAGTCACTGACTGACTCCCCGAGTCACTGAAGAAAATGTCCTAAAATAACTCTTCCGGGTTCAGTTCGCCTAGGCAAGCCAAGGCCTGTTCAGACGAATGCATCTGTGCTGCCGTAGGTCGGTGTTGCTGAATAGCTCCGACCGTCTCGCGTGACCACCACCGCTAGGGACTGGGCCCGGGCCTTGGCCATGCGCTCTCGCTCCCCAGCCTCGCCGTCAAATTCCCCGTTCTCGTTCTCTGGGTCGTAGTGGGTGATGACCGCGTCGCGTGATGGAGCGGGCCGTAGCCGCGCCGCGGCGGCCAGGGCACTCCGCAGGGCCGCCTCCTCACGCCGCTTGCCCTCCGCGCTGTGATGCATTCCGTAGGTGAAGTACAGAATCAGTCCTGAAATTGGACGATACTTTAATTTTCCCCATTATTTTAAAGGAAATTTGCCACTTATAGGCTGAAAAGCACTCAACACACCCTAAAAAGTCCATGGTCAGATTGACCCGGATTCCGGGTTCTCATGGCTTAACTCTTTTCCAGGTCAAAAATAACTTTTTTTCGGGTCAAAGTGGCACTTTTCCAGGTCAAAAATGACACTTCTCCGGGTCAAAATGACACTTTTCCTGGTCAAAAATGACACTTTTTCCGGGGTCAAAATGACGCTGTGTCCGGGTCCCGGAAGCTTTGGCGAAAAGTGTCAATTTCACACGCAATTTTTTTTATTTTATTTTTTACCTGGAAAAGTGTTAGGCCACATAAAATCCCGGAATCTGGGTCAATATGAAGAGGGACTTCTTAGAGTGTGTAACAAGAAATACAAAAACATAGAAGAGAGATTTCCAGAAGAAACAAATTCTCTTAAAGGACTAGGATAAAGAAAAAAAAAGGAAAAGGAAGGAAATGGATTGGATCACTATGAAGAGAAATTTAGATATGTTAACCAGCTACTAACCGAAAAAGCTAAGCTTTTGCATGATAAACAGGAATATCATTTTCAGTGGCCAAATTATCTTGTATTGAAACCCCACAACAGCTGTTGCTTTTCAGTGATCAATTGAACTGATAAGTTACTAGTAAAGGGTCAACGTCGATAATATGGCATAAGCACAATAACCGACATGCAAATTAGACTTGGGGAAAAACACTGTAAATATGCTCAAAAATATGTAGAGAATGGCCTACTGGAATGACTTTAAGTTTAACATGACCTTTTCTCCTTGTTGAAGAGCTAACACAGAAAGTCTGAGTGAGAATTAAAAAAAGAATGACTTAAAGTTAGCATCCTATGATTTTTCAAATAAAAAAAAAATTCCGAACGACTTTTGAAAGAATGTATTTTTTGAACTTTTTGTTGGCATTTAGAGGCAATGATTCCATATACACGTCATTGGTATACATACATTGGTTAAGACCTAAAGCCGTCGGTTGGTCAACTGGTTACCATTTTCATGGGTTAAGACATACTGGTCACCTTGACCAATCTTTTGGTAAAAGCCTTGGTCAATTGTTAACCAAAAAAGTGGTAAAATAAAATTGGTTATTTTGACCATTTTGTCGGTTAAATGTAACCAAAGGCATAGGTCAGCGATAACCAAAGTCGGTTGGTTAAATCATTTACATTAAGTTAACCAAAGCTTTGGTTGAATATTCACCATAACAAATGGTTAATTGTGTCTGGCCTCGTAATGGCTACTTTAACCAAGATAATTGGTTAAACCATGCTTTCACGTAGCTTTCACGTGATCAGGGTTGAATGATTTATCCAGAAATATTGGTTATTATAGCTAACCAAAGGTCCTTTGGTCATTTTGACCACAAAGTGAGTTGGACACATTATTGACACATTGACATAACATTGGTCAAAAGACGTCTGATATTGGTAATCGTAACCAATTTATTTTTAGAGTGTACAAAGGGCTCAGTATGTTGCGCCCGTTTCACGACTTGAGTCAAGTCTTAAGCTGAACTGAAAAATTTGCATGGACCGATTTTTCTTTCTTTCGATGTTTCATTAGAAAGTTCATAACTTTTGTAATACTAATAAATGATCAATTCAACTTTGTTAAATGTCAAAATTTAAATGTCAAACTTTTGACGCAAGGTAACTAAAAAATCTTTGATTTTTCATTGACAGTGCATGTAACAGGGAAAGCCAGTCACCCAAAGATTGGGCTCAACTTCAACCATGTCTTAAGTATGAATGTGTGTTTTGTTTACTTGAATACAAAAATCTGGGGGAAAAAATTGCATTTCCGAGGAAACCATCTCGGATCTCCTGGCTGTATGGAGAGAAATTAACACTTGAAGGGTTAAGATCACCTCGGTCTCAGAGCATAACATGCATTGTGTTAACGTTCCGGTCGAGTACCCAGACTTACCTACACAGGTCCAGATGAGGAACTCCAGCCAGGCAATGGCGTCAAAGCGAACCATGAGAACGACGTTGCAGAGCAGACTAAAGAGTGGCACAAACGGCATTAAAGGGACCTGAGCATGGACAAACATGTTAACCTTTTATACTCTTGCATCCAAAATAGATGAACGAAGTAGTCTAGACCTACAAAATAAGACACCCACAATTAATTCTGCTCATTCTCGGACAGAAATATAATCATGTAGGCCTTAATGTGTTGAAAAGAAACCCAAAACATTTTAAACGAAACATTAAATTACGAATTTCTTTTCTAGTTCTTTTGAGAGCACAAATTCATTGATGGTTACTTTAGGTATACATGTAGTTGAAAAGAATAATTAGCGCCACCTAAGTCTACCAAGAAATGCTCGACCAATTTATGAAGGACATTCTGTTGGACAAAAATGTTGCATCCTGACGCTACTCTTTTTTCCTCATGTATCATCTCAATGAGAGTCAGTCATTGCAAAAATGTTGAAAAGACATGAATCTGGGACTGAGAAACATTTCTAATTTTGTTAGAAAATACCTTAAAAGTATTCTCGACTCTCCATCGACTTCGTGCACAACCACTGAAGTGGCGTCTGGATACTACATTCTTTCCATTAATTTATATTGAAGGAACTAACTTGTTCAGGCCAAGAGTGAAGTGGCAAGCCAATAAACTTTTGTTTAAAAATCCAGGTTGCTGTATATATGATCTAGACGATGACCTCAATCGGGAATGAAACATAATACATAATTACCTTAAAAGGAATTCCTTCCTTGTACTGCGGTAAGACAAACAGTGGCCAACAACAGATTATTGCCAGCCCGGCGCTGAAAGCGACGCCAAATACGACGGCTCCGTCCATAGCCTGGAGCTCGGCCATCTTGTAGGTCAAGAGAGCCATCGCGATAAACTCGAACAGCAGATGGAGGCTCAGCGAGATGATGACGGTAGGGGTGGGATGTTTGTCGATCCATCGACGGGAAGCTGAACCCGATGAAGAGAAGGAGCTGGCGGCAGATGCCGCTCGGTGCAGTCCACCACCAGATGAGTTTCCCAACAACGGGGACTTCTCGCCGTGTTTGGTAGAATTGTGGTTGTCCGTGTCCCGATCGCGTGGTTTCTTCTTGACAAGCCGGCGAGGGTATTCCCCGGACATCTCCGTGTCGGCTTCCCCGTCGTTATGATCTTCGTGATTGTCGTCGTCGTTGTCGCAGCTACTAGTACTACTGTCGCTGCCGTCAATGGCGGAATAGCCGGATCGGACTGGGGGGCGGTAGCGGAGAATCACCGCCGCCATGCCGACGATGACAAACTCGACGAAGGCTACAAGGGACAAGAACTGGATGATGACCAGGAAGTCAATGATGACACTGACAATGACGGTCAGGACTGCCCCAGCTAAGGTAGCAACCACGGGAGTCTGTGTCCTGGCATTGGTCTTAGAGAGGAAGGCAGGGAGAAGACCATCCCTAGCTATGACGTAGATGCTTCGGGCCAGACAGAAAGCACAGTTGATAAGTCCTCCGGTCATGCTACCCAAGGCGCCTACAGCCACCAGATACTTCATCCAGTCAAGTCCGATTGCTTCGAAGGCTGTCACAAACGGAGACCCTGGGTTGATATCTTGGTAATCTGAGAGCACGGTGATGGAGAAGGTGCCAGCCACATAGCACAGGATCGACGCCAAGAAGGCCACGATAATGCCGATGGGTAGGCCCTTACTGGGATTCTTGGCTTCCTCAGCACTGAAAGCGATGGCCTCGAAGCCGCAGTACCCTGTGAAGCAGGCCGCGGCGCCTGTCATGACGCCACCAAAGCCGGTCGGGAAGAAGCCGTGCTTGGTCAAGAAGGAGAAGTCCGCATGGATCATTGCGAAGATGAACACCAGCGCGATGGTCACGATGTTGATGAAAACAAAGAACATGTTTGCCTTAGCAGAGACTTCCGTTCCCACGGCAACCAGGAGGCAAGCGAAGAGGGCAACCAGACCAGCTACAAAGTCTGGGTATCTAGCCAGGACAGGGATGGACCATTCCTCACCATTCAGCACAAACGCCACGGTGAGGTTACTGATGTGATCACCGATGACATCATCGAAGTAGGCGCTCCATCCCCGCGAGACTAAAGCCGTGGCGAAGACGCGAACGACCACGGCGTTCCAACCGATCATGAAAGCCATCATTTCCCCCAGTGTGACGTATGTGTACAGGTAGGAAGCACCGGTCTCTGGAAGCTGAGTGGCGCACTCTAAGTAACAAATAGCAGACAGGAAAGCTACCACTCCAGACAGGAGGAAGGAAATGGACCCAGCAGGACCGGCCATCTCACCGGCTACTTCACCCGTTAGGACGTACACACCAGACCCTAGCATGCACCCAATACCAATAAAGGTTAAATCTACAGTGGACAGACATCTCTGTAGTGGGGTGGACCTCAGGTCTGTGGTCACTACTTTTGTCCGGACGATGTTGTCCCTGATCTGACCGCAGCAACTCACATCCCCCATCACGACAATGACGACGACGACCAACAACCCTTGAAAGTCACCTCTGTGATGCGTAATTGCATGCAGCACCGCGATTCAGCAGCAGGCGAGTGGGTAAATCGAAACGAGTGGACGGTGGCAGCGCGAACTCTGCGCTCGCTGACTGCCTCACAACGGAAAAAGACAGATGGACAATTTCTCTGCATAGTTATCGGTTTCCGTTTAATGATTACATGTCCCTATTTGCCACACTAGTTGTACATTTACTTCAGCGCCGCGGCATTATTTGCATAAGCGTCGACTTTATCTCAAAATAATACGGGATTAATTGTTTTATTTCGACATCAATACTTAACTGTCGTTTTTGGCTGTTCGTTGGTACATTGTATATGTAAAAGTTGCAAGTTGTTCTCGAAAAAAATAAACATGAATAAGCGACTCATTTACAAATACATGTATTACAGTGATACAACTGTACTGTAACTTGGGGGGGGGGTTCAAAATAATTTTCCAATTTTATATGTATATTTAATGTTGTATATATATATATTATTTCAAGGGCACAGATGGGCACATTTCTCAGATTAACACTGTAAAATAGTTAAAAGAAATCGTCGGAAGCCGTTTGATATACAAATGCTAGTTGCAAAAGTACAAACCGTCAATACAGTTAATTAGTTCACACTGACACATCGTTCACCAATCCCGAAATGTGTATCCTGGTGAAAACATCGTTTTGTTCTTATGTACAAACGGATAAGAGGATCGAAAGCTATTTTCAAAACGAATATTTGAACCAGAATTACTTTCCTTGGTCGAAATCATTACCAAATGTCCCTTACACAAACTACTTTAAGTTAAGATAGATAAGTACACTGTACACCCTGGAAATTACTACTTTATATTTTAGTGTAATCCATTACGTGAAACCTTTGTGGAGACCTTTACACCTTAAGAAATTTCCTTGTGGAGACCTTTGTAAACAGCCTTTTGTTTCGTATTATACCCGGGTTTCTAGGGTAGCACTTTTGGAATCACACACTCATGACTTCGACAAATTGCTGATACCTCTTATGATGAATGTACCGTTTTCCCCTTACACGATACACTTAGTAAGTAATATACGTGTCAAAATATGCTGCAAATACAATCGGTAAGTATTTATGTACGCCCACTAACGAACAATTTCAAAATCCAAACGGAAGAAAGCTCGCACACACAAAAATGCAGGGATTAAAAATATTCTATTCACAATAAAAGATATTCTCACAAATTCCTCCCTCTATTGGAACCAGGTTAAAGCTGGACATAATTCAAAAGTTGAATTCACTGAATGCCAATCTGCGTCCAAACTGTACAAATACAGTTTTCTAACTACACATGTAGCATTCATGTCTGCAAGTTCCACTACACAGTACAATGTCATCATTCCTCATATTAAGAAATTCCACACAATGAGTGGGTCAAACCAGACTTTTGTGCGAGTGAAATCCATTTTATTATAACTACATGTACATGTACCTCGATCATTGTGTAAGCATGCTCAAAAATGAAATAAACCCCAAACTTAAAATTGCAGAAAACCTCCCGACTAGGATATATGAAGCCAGAGGCTTTATTTGTACTTACACTATCAAGGAGATTAAAAACTATTTACAAAAGCTTCAACAAATTCCTATCAAGCTCATAATATTTATTAAGTTACGCATAAAATACAATTCTGGACCAGTTATTGGTAAAATATTTTACTTTAATAAAAGGAGCCTTGCAGTAAATTGCATTCTTTTTTGCTTGATTTATTTTCTTATTTGTTATTACCTCATTATTCACTGCCTTGCGCATGTGTTGGCCTGCAACATCTCAATGGCATGCGGGACAGCTCACAGTGATCGAAATGTTACGCTGCAGTCAGGGTGACCGTTTTGGCCGAATTTGGCCAACTTTGACAGAATTTTCTTTTAAAAATGTGTTTGACAGAAAATTTGATGGAATGGATTTTTTTGGCAGATTCCTGGCGGAATTCTGCAAAAATGGTTATTTGACAGAAAAACGGCAAATTTGATCAAAAAAGTCTACATTTGTTCGAAAAAGCTTCAATCCTTTCAAACAAACCCTTCCATAATGGGACAGGTTGGCTGGTCTAGGTGCCGAGGTTCACTGGGAAACGGACTTCGTCGTGGCCTGATCCGCGTTTTGCCCGAAATTTACCAATAATTCACACCTTTATGTGACTAGACTGTTTATTATGTAATTTGAATCTTACTTACTATTGGCAATACTACCAATCTGCATGTGATTTTACGTGTTTATAGTGTACTTCTGGAGAATTTGGCAGATTTTTGATAAATCTGACAGATTTTTGATGTGCATTAAACAGAATTTGGCTCTGACCTTACGGTCACCCTGGCTGCAGTGATTTCATATATTTATTGCATGGTGAGTTACAAACCTGTTGTAACAAAACAACTGGAGACTTTTGAGACGTTGGTGGCAGCAAACATGTCGGTCCTTTTCAATTGTTAACGTCATGTTTAAGCTAAGGGGCTCATGCTCAATTTGAAGCAAACAGTAAAAAAGGACCAGTATTTTTGCTGTCACCAACGTCTCAAAAGTCTCCCACTGTAGAATTGCCGAGATGTGGTACATGTACTTTTTACAGCCTCAAGAATGTACAGCACCATTGGTTTTCCTCACAACTCGACAGTCGACAATAAACCAGTTTGGTATCTCGATGATTCAGTCCAGGTCATTCAGGATAAAATGGCTGACATCATATGTCTTGTAACCGCGATGTTACGCTGCTCTCACATAAAGCACGAGCATTGAGCGACCACCTCCTTGCGGGTTCAGGCACCTTTGCTGAGCATTAGACAATCCAGAATGACCTAGCTGCGACGCATAAGCGCATCCATGCACAGCTGGAGTACCGAATTGGCTTCTTGTAAACTGTGATTATAAAAGAGAGCAACAACCCACATAGCAAATCTGTCTTACAACATATCAGCAATGCTCCGCAGACCAACTTCAACCAGTGCCTTAGCCAGCGCCGCTTTAGTGGCAGCTTTACTTTCACGTTGCTTCCACTTCAGCATGATTTTGAAGGCAATACTTTTGTGGCCATATTTTTCATTATCCAGGACGATGTTGTCAATCTGAGCTTGTTTCAACCCAAGCTGCCCTCCAAGATCTTCGTAGTTTTTCCCAATGTACTTGGCGATGCCACGAATGTCTTTCTCTGTGACGGGCTCATTGCAAGCTGGAGTATAGCAAAGTTGTAAAAACAAATAATTTAGCAGAGCATCGAAATGAATTCCGCACTTATTGTATGTTGTGGTTCCTTGAGGGGATTGTTATTGCCATAATTTCTGTTTGGCTTTTGAAAAATTAAACAATCAATACACACACTGTGCAAATCAACTTTTGCTGTTCTAAAGACAAACCCATGGAGTGTGATGGCCTAGCGGTTAAGAACACCGGACTCACTTTTTCGAGCCCGCCGGCGGACACTTGTGCTCTTAAGCAAGGCACTTAACCATTATTGCTTCGTCCTTCGGATGGGACGTTAAGCCGTAGGTCCCGTGTGTTGTATAAATGCACGTAAAAGAACCCAGTAAACACTTATCGCTAAGAGAAGGGGTTTGCCCCGGTGTTTCTGGCCTCCTGTATAAACTCCCACGTGGAGTATTTAGGAGAAGAACCAACCAAGAACCAAGAACCAGACGAACGGTTATGGCATCAGGTGTGCCTAATGATTTCCTGCCATGCAATACATGGAAGGGCAATATAAATGTGACAGAGATTGGCAATGAATTATTTTGCAATGCCATAATGAGTTAATGAGAGCGGTTGAAAGTTGCATTACAGCTGCCATTATGTACACAGTGGTATAACGTTGACAATATTAAAACAAGAAGAGAACCATCCAAATAGGAAGTCTGTCTTACAACTTATCAGCGACGTCCCGCAGACCAACTTTGTACAGCGCCTTAGCCAGCGCCGCTTTAGTGGCAGCTGTACTTTTACTTCTTATCCACTTAAGCATGATCTGGAAGGCAATTTCTTGCTGACCGTATTTATCATAATCGAGGAAGATGTTTTCAATGAGAGCTTGTTTCAATCCAAGTTTCCCTCCAAGAGCTCCGCTCTGTTTACCGATGTGCTCGGAGATATCACGGATATCGGTCTCTGTGACGGGCTCATTGGAATCTGGAGTATAGCAAAGTTGAAAAAAAGAAAAAATTTCAACAGGGAATTCAAACTGAATTCTGTTTGGCTTTTGAAAAATTAATCACTCAATGTACACATTGTTCAAATCAACTTTTGCTTGGCTAAAAAAAACAAAAGATGGGAAGTGTTTGGGCCGGTCAGACAACTGGCATATACCATGGCCTTGTTTTGTTCTTTTCTTCTGCCCAATACCACAGCATTAAGATGATGACACCAAATTTGCTCATGCTCGGCAGAGAAGTTAGTCTACCCTTGGACCTGGTATTCGGGGCTCCTGGGGAGGGAATGGATGCCCCCTTTGACCTACATGAGTATGTTCAGCAGCTACAAATTTGCCAGAAGTCACTTGAGAGCGAGCCAACTGCACCAGAAGAAGTGTTACGACCGTAGGATGCAAGGAACTTGCTTCAAACCTGGAAACTCTGTCTTGCTCTACATCCCCCGAAGGAAGGTGGGACGAGCTCCCAAACTACAGTGCTGGTGCGACAGGCCGCTCATCGTTTTGTCACAGATCGAAGAAGTGACTTATAGCATTCAGAGGTCGCCTCGTTCCAAACCCAAGGAGGTGCACTATAATCGCCTTAAACCCTACCTTGGCGAGGTGCAAGCAGTCTGGTGGGCCCGAATTGTACCCGTGAGTGTAACCATGGAACCTAAGTCAGTGGAAGAAGAGGGAGAGCCATAGCCAGAGGGGGACACGACACCCCCTGAACCACGACAGGTGGGGGAGCCAAAACAACAACATATCAGGGGGGCAGAACCCGAGCCAATGCAGGTTGTGGAGGGGCCCAACAACAAACACAGTGTGGCTGACCCATAGTTAAACCTAAATAATATTGCCACCGACTTACTAACCTTTCTTCTTCCCCCGACAGAATGGATGCCATAAGGTGCAAACTTTGTGGCAGGGCCTTCTTCAAGAAAACAAACCTCTGGTGACACCTACAAACATCCTGTGAGTACAAGCAGCCATATGAGTGTGGGAAGGGCCATTCATTCCACAACCTGATATCCGAGGTCGACACAAGAAAGTTTGTAGAAGGGGACAGCTGGTTGGTTCCATTTGAGTTGAAGATGAGCTGGAAATCTTCGCAAGTGATGAAGAGATGGAACTCCTCTACCCTGCTGCTGGAAGCCCAGCATGCCAACCACCAAGTGACAAGGCCCACTACCCTTCAGAGCGGCCCAACCATCAGCCCAACAAGAACCACCCGAGAGATACCTTCAAGCGACAGGGGCCGCTCCCCATTTGAGCGGTCCCCACCTTCAGCCCAACAACATCCATCCGAGTAACACCCACCATGCGACAGGGCCCGCTACCCTTTGGAACGGCCCCAACCATCTTCCCAATGAGATCCACCTGAGAGATAGTCATGAACTGATGGCACCTGCTACCCTTCCGGACAGCCCAAATCCTCAGACCAACAAGAAACAGCCACCCACCGAGTGGGGCCACCGCCAGTCAGCGAGGCCCCTGCCATGGTCACAACCAAGGCGACAGCCAGGGCAGGCCTCATGGACTGCAGCTCGACCAATTACAGACCGTGGCTTACAGACAGATGTACGGCTGCACTGGTTTTACCACTAAGCCACGGACACCGCCACAGCATCTACCCGGTTGCTGTTACCAGATGGGTCTCTTTTGGCCGTAGACATCCCGTGTACCATCTGACTGAATTTTCTGCCAGGGATTGCGCCACAGAAATGGTTGAGCCTCTCTGTGAACACTTGCCAGACTAGTGGTCAGGCAAACATATGAGGTACCAGGGAGACTACTAGCAACCTATCCAGGACGACCAGTATTTTATCAACCCTCTGTGGCAGGCCAACCATTTCTTGAAGGCCTGCTGCCGCCGGGAGCTCCCCCACCCATTAGATATCCAGAGAACGTTCCCCTAGAGTTCTAGGATGAACTGTTAATGCACACTGAGTTCCACAGAATGCCACCACCTATTTAAGTCGCAAGAGCTCATTCTTTTGCTTGAAACCACCCCCACCCTCAGGCGAGCCCTGTACCATTAATTTTGGGGTAAATAAGAACCCTCGGAGGGGCAGTGTAACGACTGACTAGGGGCACTATTACACGTCTGCATCTGGGCAGACTGCAGATGCCCCTGCCAAAAGGACTGGAAAACCTGTTCTCGGAAGCCAGCTTATCTTCGAGAAGTTTCCGTAGTTTTTAGTCACATTTTGAAGTAGTAAGTGTGCTAGTAAGGTGATCAATAACAGAAGTGTTTCAGCAGATATCAGGGCCCGAGTGTGTTATTCTGATTGTGTCCTGAAACCCCCGCCCCAATCGACAAGCAACAGATTGCTTATGACATCAAATGTGCCTAATGATTTGCTGTCCATGTAAAGCAAGATACATGTGTAAATGAACAAGAGAAACGTTTTTAATCAGAGGTTAAAATCTGGGGGAAAATGAACAAAAACAACAAAAGGCCCAAGAAGCTAATAATGGAATGGCAATTTTTTTTTTAAAGGGAGAGAATTTGAGATTCAAAACATCCACTACATGGGTCCTTTATGATTATGTATGCCAAAAACTCTGATAGGAAAACTCCAACAAGTACAAGGGTGCTTCAAATCAGGACTTAGCGCAAAACAAAAAAGCAACATGACAAGCATTAAAAATGGAGTAAAATAAACAAAATCAACCGGAGTTAATTAGTTAAGACAGTGAATCAGTACTTCAGAGAAACACAAAAGATATGGTTTAGTTGAGTGTTCATTACGTAGTTGCGGCACTCGTAAGACTTTGACTGGGTTTTTGTTAGGTAGTGCACCCTCTGGTACATTATACTACCTTGATTCCAAAGATTTAAAAACAACTACTCTTATTACCAACCCAATATTCAATTCTTGAAGGTCAAGTTACTGAACATTTTTGCACTCATCTTCTGCTTACTGGTCCCCCCCCCAAAAAAAACCTAATATTCCTTTTGTTGTAAGCACACTTACTGGTTAGAGGAGTTGCGTGTGCTCCACCAGCTACGGAATCTGTTTCGTCCGAATCAGACGCAGAGGAAGAAGAGGAAGAAGAGGAAGATGGTGGGGGAGTGGGTTTCTTTCTCTTGGACTTCTTTTTATTTTTCTTTCCAGGCTTGCCCATGTGGATTACACCACCCCTTTGAGCTACTGATACAACATTTCCGTCACCTTTGACATTGATGTTTATCGGGTTAGCTGGGGAAAGCAGTGAGCAAAAACAAAAATTAATTAAAACAAATTACAAACTAAACTCACCCCCCAACAAATCATAAATTCAAGGATAGGCATGCCTACTGAAGCTGTTCCCAGAGTGCAGAAGTTTTTATTCAATTGATTCGGAGTGACTAAAACACTTCGTAAAAAAGCTGTTTTACAGGCACGACGGGAATGAGAAATCCACTTTTGACGCTCGCATGAAAGAACATGAAACATGCAGCACCAGACTAATGCACATGTGGTGTACAGTACAAGCTACATCACATTCGCAAGCCTTGTAACGCTGGTCCCAGACCAGTGTATGTTCCAGTCCAATTCACAAGTGACAGTCAGTCAGTGAGATAGGTAACCAGTCTAATTCACAAGTGACAGTCAGTGAGATAGGTAACCAGTCTAATTCCCAAGTGACAGTCAGTGAGATAGGTAACCAGTCTAATTCACAAAGGGGAGTCAGTCAGTGAGATAGGTAGCCAGTCTATTTCACAAGTGACAGTCAGTGAGATAGGTAAGCAGTCTAATTCACAAGTGACAGTCAGTGAGATAGGTAACCAGTCTAATTCACAAGTGACAGTCAGTCAGTGAGATAAACAGTTTAATCCACAAGCGTCAGGTCAGGTTCGGTCAGGTCAATGTAAGTTCTCCTGACATCGTTTATTTGTACAAAACAGAGTGACAAAATAATGTCTTTTTTTTTAAAACTGGAGTGGAAAATCTACACATACCATTGCTGTAAGTACGTTCGGGCTTCGCTGCATGAGGACTCAGAACATTCTGCACACATCAAATAAAAAACAGAGTAAAGATATTGCTAACAATTCAAGGCATAACTGGTAGTACAAAATATGTTGTTGTGAAATTCCACTTATTGAGAATTGCTCAGTTGACTACTGCAAATGTTAGGGCTTTCCATGACCCATTCCAATGGAAAATAAGGATCATTCTTGTCAATTGTAGTTGAAGTATATGGCACTGAATCAGAATGGAACAAGCAGAGTTGTATGACCGGTGAATTGAACTTAGACTCAAGTCTGACTCGAGTCCCATTTTCCGCGACTCGAAATCGGACTCAACCGTTGTGACCATGACTCGGACTCGATCTGCATGACTCGGGACTCGGACACAGACTCAGGAGAGGGGACTCAGACTCGGACACAATGTTTGGTGACTCGAATTATACAATTTTGGGCACAGGGAGTACGAAATGTTATTCATCTACATGGATATGCAAGAAAACATTCTTCAAAAAGCACTCTTTTGGCGATAACCTTTCCAACACCAAATCTGATTGATTGCTTTGTAATTGGACTCATATACATGTATGTACATTAAGAAACTATTTTGTATACCTGTGGAATGGAAGAAGAAACAGAGTCGGAGTAAGATTGCCGCTGAGAAAGCGGTTGTTCTTGATGTGTTAAAGGTTGTTGCAATGGTTGCTCTGGATGTTGTTGTTGCCCTGGTTGCAAAAGGACACCTTTTGTAGAAAACAAAATCAACAACACAAGGGAATATTCAACAGTTGCTTTTGCTGTAATTTTCAGAAATGGATGGATTTGGGGTGTTAGTATTTTTTTTCTCAAATATTGTTAAACTGACTTTGAAGTTCCTGAAGTCTGGTTCCCTGATCCCACAGCAATTTATAGACGTCAGGAATTTGAAAGGTTTGAGAACCAGTCTAGCTTGTACCCATTCATAGTTGCATAATCGATTGCAAACAAAATGTGGACGACCTATGGTAAATTTGGTGCAGTGTTTGAAAAGAGCCTTTTTTTCCCAACGCTGGTTGGCCAACACTAACACAAAAATACCACTTTTGTTGAAAATGACAGCACACCAGGTGCCATGATTTTACAGGATGCTTTAGACTGTCATTCACTAACAGTCCAGTAAGGTAATCACAATAATTTGGTACTTTTGTTTTTTTGATGTTTGCAAATATTGTATATTCCCTTTAAACCTAGTTTTAATACCGGCCAAGCACATATTTATTCCAATTCATAAATACCTTATTGGTAAAAAAATCTAATTTTTTAGGTCCAAAAGTCAAAACAATGCAAAAATCATAAATTTCCAACGATTTTGCTCAACAAGTTTACTTCATGTTTTTATGAACAACCCTCTTGCTACATTATGGTAATTCCCTGTCTCTTTATATGGAGATTGACTCACGCATCGCACATACTGTGAGATGTGGCGCAGAACGCAGCTGTATCTATTTCATAATATTTTTTAGCTTTGTTTTTTGATGTCTGTAAAGGTTGTATTTTCCCTTAATTTTTTTCTTTAGTAAATTAGTAATCAAAGGATTCTCAGACTTGCTTTGTTCAGAAAATCCACTGTTTTGTGCTTGAGGCTGGATAGTGGCAGAACTTTCAGGTTGCTGGGATGCAGCATCACTATTCATACAATGGACCTGTCCAGTGGATATTCCGGCAGCATCCTCTGACATGTTGGAGACACTTCCATTACAGCCAGTAGGGGTGGCTTGCTTATGTGGCGTGGTGTCTGGCACACCATACTTATCACCTTATTCAAAATAAGAAAATAAAAAATAAAAAAGATATCATTATTTTGTACTTTAAAAGAAAAAATAATCTAATCATTTTCAAATTCTCCCTACAATAACTTACGGTCTGCTGACGTCACCATCCCGAAACTGGTATGGTATGTCATAAGAAAGTTTATTATATTTCAACACACTGAGTATAAAGTGTTTATACGTCGACGAAAGGGCAAAACCTAATTTGATGAAAGCTTATTTTGTTTTAAAGTTTTAAATTAATTTGTTAATATTTTGTCCTTAATAGCCTACGATCCTTCTTTGGACAACCACAAAATAACCTCACAAAGCTTAGGTATGATGATGTCATCAAATGAAAAGTTATTGTTGGGAGAATTTGAAAACCATACTGCTTGTCTTTGGTTCATTTCAATCCATCATTCAAATGATTTGATCCGTATACAATGGCGGAGAGTGTAGTGCAGATAAACACTGCTGACAATGGGCTTCTGAATGCTGTGACACCATCAAAAGGGAAGTTCTAAAGGTGTAATCAATACATACACTAATACATTTGTGTAATTTTTTCTATTTTCAGAGGTTCTTTCACTTTATGTTACATATGTAACATAATAAACTAAATCTATGTTCAGTTTTCACATTTTTCACTAATTACATCATAAACCGGGAGTAATGTGGGAGAAAAAAAGGAAGCATTTTTTTTTTCAAAACTGGAGAGGCTGAATTTAAAAAAAAACTTTTTCTGTTTTCAAATAAAAGCATTCACAACTGCACTGTGCAATGGCCAATGGAATTGTTACCTGCCCGATAAACCTGAGTTTGTAACAACAACAAAAATGCTACGAGTTGTGAATGAAAGACGGACTTGTTTTGAACTAAAACCGCTTGTAATTTGATGCCTGATGATGTCATGATGATGTCATAGTAATATGCACACCTCGTGTTCAGGGTTGATGTTTGTTCAAAGTTTCAAGTTCATGCTGTGTACTGTTTAGAGGAAACCTCACGGAGATTTATTATACAGCCCGTCTAAAAAAAAATGGTACAATCAGAAAAAAAATTGGTTAAATATGAAATTTCAAAATAAGTCATTCTTACTTGGCATAATATTAAAGAGCAAAGACTGGGCTTTCCAATAGAGTTTGTTTGATCTTATTTGCTTTTGTCAATTCAGAGATACAATCAATTTAGTGCGATACACCAAAATCGATTTTGTGCCACTTTTATGCATGGGCAGAGTTGTTTCGAGTACTGTGCCATGCTGTCTTGAAGCTCACAAAAGATTGCAACTGGGCAAAAGAAACAAACTCGATTTTTGTGTTCCGCAGTAAATTGTAGTTATCTCTGGATTGACAAAAGCAAATGAGATGAAACAAAAAGTATTGGAAAGCCTGGTCTTTTTTCTTTAATGTTTTCGATTGTACCATTTTTTTTTAGATTGATTGTTCAACAAAACTGTGATATCCCCATTAATTCCAACAATTTAAAACAGTGACCGGGTGCTACCCCATCTTCCCCCCAAAACTGAACAGGCCTATATTCCCTGAACATCTGAACCACACCTACCTCAGACTACAGGTATGAAATGAGGGGTGAAAAGGTTAAAGACAAACTGAAGTTACTTACTGTTGATGTTCATGCCTGTCATTTTTGTCTCGATAACACTCGCACCATCTTGCTGTCCCTCAGCGTGTGGGTCAGAGACAGCCACAGGGAAACTGAGGTCCTTTGATTTCTGTCTGGTGATTGGATCTATAGATTGCAGAGTTAGTGGGCTGTCGTTTGATGGGGCTGGACTCGGCAGATCAAAGGCTCGAGATCTTGCGTCTATGTGTGTCAACACGGGTAAATCTGGACCGGAGTTCTGTTGCCATGGAAATAAACAACTTTCATCCGCATCATCCTGGAAGAAAGACAACAACGTCTTCAAATTCTTCAGTACTTTCTACCGAAGAAAAGAAACAGGCCGAGTCTCTCGAAGAGAACAAGTTTCATCCAACACGTAACTTCTTCCAGCCTATGCGATCAAACAACTAATATATATTAATTAAATCCGGTTCCAATCTTACGCTGTTCAGTTTTTCCCAACAGAAGTTTGCATTCTAAATAATGGCACACAGTGTAGGAATCCCTTGAAGTATTCTACATTGTACTATTATTTAATTCACTTCAAGTGATTTTTTTTTTTAACTTTTAATGATGCAAATATTTTTGTATATATTTGTATGTTTTACTTTTTTATATAATTGTCGTACATGTCACGTTTTAGTGTTAGCAGATGTGCAATGTATTGGGGGGGGGGGTTCCGACACCCACCCCTCCCCCTCCCTCTGGAGCCGTGCCCCTGCAGCAAGAGAGGAAACACAGCCACAACCATGTGATGCACTCTCAGCCAATCAAAAGGCAGAATCTGTGGGCGAGGTGTCATAAACCTAGGCCAAGTTCGCGCAAGGACTATAGTTGACCAATGGTTAACTAACGTTTGCCCGAACTCTGTCGAGTCAACGATGGTTGACTACGCTAGTCGACTATTTGGAACCAGCCTACTGGGGTTAGTAGCTTTGCTGGTAACCAATAGCCGCGCGCATTCATACGTTCGCACGTTGTTATCAGTGCGCAGGCATAAGGTACGTCACAAATCAACCACTAGTCGACTAATGGTGCTTGCCCGAACTTGGCCCTAGCTGTGCCGTTGAGAGGACCTTGACAGCATTCCAGAGCATCCACAGCAAATAGGCATATAGGTTCTCAAAATGTATGAACTTCTTTGCAATTCGGGCGATTCACAATGCAGTTCGCCACCAAGAGTTTGCCACGGAGAGTTCATATTTTCCAGTTCATTATGGGAGATGGTCGACAAATGGTGACAAATTCGCACCGCGCGACATTTGAAATTTCTAAGTTTTTCCAGTCAGTAGTTTCGTAAGTGTATGATTCGAGTATATAGTTTGCCCTATTCTTTTCTTTTTATCAATATGGTGTTTTTTGTAAGGCGGCAGAACGCTATGCACCAATCTATAACAAATTAGCTCAAGTTGTCTGATGACACTCGTTCAAATGGACCATGTTTTGTTACCCGTAAACTTGAAAAGTGGACTCTCCGTGGCAAACTCTTGGTGGCGCACTGCATTGTGCCCAAATTAGTTACCTGGTTGGATGACACATTTCCCAACTGCACGAAGATATCAGCACGGCCCTTGTTAACGTCCTTTTTGTAGTTTTTCAGGAATTCATCATGAACCTTCCTAGTTATCTCTGTGACAGAATACCAATATTAATGGAGTAGACAACCTTATCCACGAGCAAAATAGTAATGCCACCTAATAGGTAACATGATTTATTTTTAAAAAATAAAACACAACACTAGAAAACAAAAATCATTATTTCAACGAAAATTAGGCATGGATCTATGTACAAAGAAAGTGAGGATTCACTGCAGTACCACACAGTGAAGTATCCTGTTCACAAACACCATAGACTATCCATCACTGTTTGCTGCTTCATTGTGCATCCGAGATATTTTGATAAAAACCCACCTTGAAAGTCCGGTCGTTTGTCTGGGTCCTGGTGCCAAGACTTCTCGATCAGTTGCTTGATAATGTCAGGTTCATCATCGGGTATCAATTTCATAGCTGGTCTCTGACCAGTGGTGACGCATACTTTTAGAAAGGCATCATTTCCAAGGCAATCTGAGCACACGATAGTGTAATCAGACAGCAATTTAAGAGAAATTGGCTAAGCATGAAAACATTTGCTTACTACAAACAGGTTAGTGGTTACATTGCCATGCAGTGTATATTGTTCCGGACTACTTCTCTTATATACCTGTGCTCTTTTAAAAAAAAAAAAGGGATTTGAAGTTCAAAAAATGATATAAAATCATTTTCAGTTAAATTCGTCTGATAGTGATGGGAAGGAAACATGGCTGAATAAAGACTAAAAAGTTAAAAGACAATTTTGTCTGCTCGCGCCCTGGCCACTAGCTACCTCACTGTGTACCAGTGATGCAGCTGGCAGCTACATGTACACACAACCAACTAGAAAAGCCATATGCGTACGTACATAATGAAGTCAGGCTAGCAACTCTCACACGTACACAAAAAAGGGCCAGTCTTGTGGCCGAAATACACCACAACAAACGCAGTTTAGCGAGATTCGTATCTGACTTTTCTCCAAAACAAGACGTATTGACAAACTTTACTTGCCTCGTACTCTCAGTACAAGCAGGCCCTTGGTACGTACAAGATTTTGAAAATGTGAATCTTTTTTTACAACACCGTTTTCATGGTTTTAAGTTTCACAAATCTGCTCACATAATCATATGGCTACGTACTCGGCCCGGTACCTAAGAATATCAAGAAAACGTCAAACAATCTGCTTAGGCTGTCTCGCTTTTCTCCCCATTTTGTGGTAAAAGAATGCCTGAAAACAATGTTTGATATTTAAAAATCCTCAAAGTACATGTACATGTAGCTTCTTTGAGGGTGTCATCTTGGGTTGTATTTTTTTTAATGAGGAATGCAACCTCATGCTTGCTGTTCTAGAAATGGCCCAGTACATGGATAGCAACCCAACCTGAAATTTGTGAACAAAAAAAAATTGGCGGAATTTTGTCAATGTTTCTACTTTTTGCAAGGTTTTATCTATTTCTTCTACGTTTTTGACCAAAAAGGTATCCATTGATGACTTAATGTGTGTTTGGCCACTTTTATACAAAGTGAGGGTAATTATCAGCGCCCAGACCCCAAAGCAGTCTTTAAATAAACATCTTGTTTAAAACCAGCCAAACACATATTTATTCCCTTATTAAATCTATTTGTTTAAAATATGTGGAAACACACAAAGCACACAAAACTTCTCGCTTTACGAACTTAAAAGAATGACAACTCACTTTCATAGGGCTGTCGACGAGAGGCTAAATGCCACAATGTTATGCCGAAGCTGTAAAGCAACGAGTGAACAACGGTCATTTTCAGGAGAGGGATAAATCCATTGATCTCCATTAGCAGACTGGATAGGACACGCGTATACTTGCACTCAGTGAAGATTCCGAAAACGCGGACACAAACAGCTGGGTAATACAGTGCGGGTTTAACGTTTGCGACTGCGCAAACGCGTGCTGTATGGTCTGTGTGTGACGAACGCATTTCAAACTTTCCATTCCTCACCGATGAATAAGTGTGCGTGCACAAGATGGAGGGTGCTGTGTCCTATCCAGTCTTACTAGTGAAGATCAATGGATAAATCACATACATGATATTAAATAAAATAGCCATAGTTGTTTGAAGTACAATTTTTTATTTTTCATAAATTCAAATTCTGTCCTACTACAGTGGAACGCCGCTATACCGAACACCGCTATACCGAACATTCGGCTATACCGAACATCATCCTTGGCTCCCAGTTTTAATGTTCAAAATGAACCAAACATAGTTGTTGAAAAGAGTCAACAGATTCACAAAAAACTACCAGCTGTATTAAAAGCTATTTGGGCCACTTTTAATTACCGAGCATCAAACGACCCATAGTTACGTCGTGTTTGAATGTTGAAGAGCAACAGATGGCTATTGTTTCCCCAAGGAATAAAAGGAAAAAAACACCCGATGCTAAAGTTTGGTGACGACTCCTCGTGTGACCGTGGGATGTGGGAATGCCAGTTTACTACTGCTCAAAAGGGGGCCGGCAGTTCAAAATCGCTTTACGGAATGATCATTATTACGAACACTTTCTGTGGATCCCACGATGTTCGTTATAGCGGTGTTCCACTGTATATGAAAACAAATCTCTGACAAAACTGATTTTGAGAACAAGCACTTACCTGTAGACATCAAACTTTGTTGTGACCTCTGCGTTGATGTCTTCAAGGTGTTCTGGCGGGATGTGGGTGATTGTTCCTCCTGCTTCTTTGCGGTTTGTTGCAGTGCACCATGTTGCCAAACCAAAGTCAGAAATCTGTCAAAACCAATCACAAAGATCACGTGAGTGCTACCCTCTAGTCAAAGCCCGTGTGGCTATCCCCGAACGTGTGGCGCCCAAGATGATGGCACAAAAACAAGACCAGTGCAAGTGGCAAAGCCACTAGGGCCTTCACTATCTCATGGAAAATGGTTATGTTTTTCTTTACATTTATCTACCGATTTGGTAGAGAAATTGTTATGCATAATTCATTACTATTGACTAAAATGCGTGCGCGGCTTGTTTTTAAGAACGTGGCGGCGTGCGCCCGCCCGCACGCACGGCATCACCTAACAAAATGGCTTGTTGGTGGCATTTGGTTCATAATATCCGCATGACATGTATGATTCATATCAGGGGGGGTTAGCCACGCGCACTTTGACCCAAAGCTGGTTGGAGTCTGGAATGCTGCATTAACATTCCAGAATCCAACCAGTCTTAAACATAGTGTTTAATACCGACCAAGCACATATTTATTCACATTCATAAATACCTTTTCGGTCAAAAAATCAACACTTTTCAGTCAAAAAGTCAAAACAAGTCAGAACTCAACAATTTCCAATGATTTTGTTCAACATTTTTACTTCCTGTTTTTTTAAACACCCCTCTAGCTTAATGGAGTGTCAAGCTAGCGAGTAAGACGTAAACAACTCCTTTTATGGAGACTGGCGCGCGCCTGCGTGATGATGCGCAGATGCAGCTGTGGTTAGCAGGTTGTGCATTAGGGACTATGAAATACTGACTCATCCGTTTAAGACCGGCCACGAGACAGGCTCTCGACCAATGGGAATGGGTAAACTGTCTTAGGTATTTGTGAATGATGCTTTACATGTAGATTGGAAGTCAATGTACCTTGACCTTCAGCCGCGAATTAACCAAGATGTTTTCCAGCTTCAAGTCGCGATGGATGATGGGCTCTTTCAGTGTGTGCAGAAACTTCATCCCAAGTGTGATTTCCTTGATCATTTCAACTTTGACTGCATTTGGGAATGGCTTTAGTTTGTCCTGGAAGGACTTCAGTGACCCGTGCTCCATATAATCCATGACGATACAGCAACTGTAGGGGCTCACGTTTGTCACAATGCCTTTAATGGAGATGATGTGTTCATTGCTGGTGGTTTTGATCATTCGTTGGATTTCCCTCAGTGCAATTTTCTTATCGTCGTCAGACAAACTACGGAACAGAATAAAGAGCACAAGAGCGAAAGATTGTGAGAGACCAATTTGCATCTGCGTGAAAGGACAAATTGAACAATTGGGACCAGTTGATCTGTGGGCACCGGTGAAGGGGAGGCATGGGGTGCAATGCAAACATGCCAAGATTTTCAAACCAGAAAAAAAAAAATTGGCAAACGGAAAGTTGCACAATTACTCATCATGAAAGTTGTTTAATTCAAGTAATGCGTGACTGAAATTAAATGAAACTCATAGGGACTGAGGCCAAGGCTTAGGAGTATCTGCACAACTAAACATTTCGAAACTTGACCTTATGGTTTTGTAGTTATTTCAAAATAAGTCAGACGCCAGACGGACACTTTGGGGGGGACATGCTGTACAGTGTATACTTTTTATGTAACATACTGTTTCTTGCAAACTTTAACAGCTATTTCTTCACTCCATGGGACATGGTGTGCCTTGTAAACCTCTCCGTAGCCGCCCTCCCCAAGCTTTTTTAGGCACTGTAGGTCGCCTTTTTTAATTTCTGGAATTTCGTAAGACACTATTGACCCGTGGTGACTGGCATCTGTCTGCAACACGGACGCCATGGTGTGTGTCCAATCAGACCAAATTCTCAATCAACAGTGCAGGGATCTGAATGAAAAGAAAAATAAGAAAAACAAAACAGCTTTAAAATCCAAAAATGTACCAACACTTGAAGGCAAAATCAGGAGAAATTAATTTACAGATTCTTTGTTTCCTTCATATACATTTATCATTATAATGACGGTCTATTGTTCTAAATTATATATGTAGGTTGTTTCAAATTTATGAGTAAATACTTGATATTAACACTGTTCATGCCTTTTCACATACTTTGCACTAGTCTGAGATGGATAATGTTCGTTTACGTACAGGCTGCCGCCTAGTGTGCCTAGCAGCCGAACGACATCAACGGTAGAGGGCGCTACTGACGAGACGAACCAAATATCTAAGTAAAGCGCTCGCAACTAAATCGCGAGCGCTTTACGCACAAGCCACCCATGCCACCCTATGCACAGCCCACGCTGTATTATTCATGGTAGTGCATGCGCATGAGGTATGCTCGGAATTTTCCGGGTAGGTCTGCCCGAATCGCCAAGACTGCATTTGGTTCGTCACGTCAATAGCGCCCTCTACCGTTGATGTCGTTCAGCTGCATAGCGTGCTAGGCGGCCTGTACATAAACAAACATTATCCAAATCCAGTCTTTGTTCAAATTCAACAGTTTTTGTGCAACACTTGTTATAGCTGATTTAAGAAATAAATGCACTCTCTGTAGTATTCAATTTCAGCTCAAGTGTTGTGCATTTTTGACTAATTTAGTATTTGATCATTGCTCAAAATCTTGCATACACAAACAAATTTTGCCCCCCCCCCCCAAAAAAAAATCCCTACCTACATTGTACCTACCCTATTTTTGAATGCCATGTAATCGGAAGCAGAAATTTATTTTTGGCCTTAATAATGAACCTGATAATTATTTAGCACTGTGAATGCTGTACATTTTGAGAAAAAAAACAGAAAAAATATTAACACAATATTTAGGATCTCTATTTCAATTCCAAAGTGGCCAAAGTCATATTTTGAAAAGTTTGCGGCCTTTTGTGACACAATCCCGAAATCAGCATTCGGGACATGATTCTCGTTCTGCTGGTTGTCACCCATGCACAGATTCGCCCAATTGCAAACCAACTACAAATTAGAACACATGCTGCAGATTCAAGGGAATTTCAAACATCCTTGGAAATGAACTTTTGTTCATGTAAGTAATAATTTCACAGGGAGTTGAGTGTCAGTACTATCTTCATTAAAGGGAATGTACATCATTGGCTTTTGCTGTAATTTTCAGAAATGAACTATTTTGAGGGGTTAGTATAATAGATCAAATATTGTTACACTGACATGTTTGAAGTTTTGTGTTCGAAAATGCTGGAAAAACCAAGAAAAACAAAAATGTTCTAGTAGTCTGGTTCCTTGACTCCACTAAAGATAAAATGGACCAATTTATAGATGCCGGAAAACTGTAAGGTACATGTAAGGTAACCAGTCTAGCTGGCCTGCACCCGTTTATGAAAATGTAACCAATAGCAAACAACATTTGGACTGAAAAAAGTGTAAAGTTGGAGCAGTAGTTGAAAAATAGTTAGGTGATTCCAACGGTGGTCGGCCGACCACGATTGGAAACGTATACAAAAATACAATTTTCTTGAAAATGACTTCACACCAGGTGCCATAATTTTACAGGATGCTTTAGACTGTCATTTACCAACATCCTAGTAAGGTATTTCGTAAAAACTTGGTAGTTTTATTTTTCGATGTTTGCATATGTTGTATATTCCCTTTAAACCGAATAAGCTTTTTCTCAATCTGGTCGCTTACTTTTTGGATAGCTGCAACTAGCTTTAACCCTAACAGCCCATTTAATAGATGGTATGAAAACACATGTATTATTGCCAAGAAATGCCAACTGCAGTTACATGTATATTTTTTTACGTAAATTGAAGACTTTTTCTGTTGACAAAACCATTCCGAGTCTTTTTTCAGTCGTTCAATGAAAGCGTTTTGTGTTTGTAATTTATTTCCTGGTATTTTAACCTATGTGCGAAAAACAGGAACAGTTTGCAATAGATTGTTAACCTTGGAGAGCCTCAGAGATTTCTGCGAACAACAAGTACTTAGGAAAATGATCACGTGCTGAAAACCATGTTTCACTTTCTTCCAGCTGGATACCGTGTTAGATGCCCCCATGTAAAACAGAAAGAACCTTCCATTCATTCCAGTGGCTAAGACTTTTAAATAATTGATATTTGTATTTTTAAAGGTCCATAAATTAATATGTCATTTTTTATTTGTCATCACGTGTACATTCATCATCGTAGTTAAAGTATAAAAAATATCTTTAAAAAGTTTTACATCAATATTCAATCTATTTTTTAGTAGTTTGTAATTGTTTAAAATGTTATAGGCCTATATATTTATTTGACCTGTAATTACTTAAAGGGAAAATACAACATTTGCAAACATCAAAAAAACGAAATGATGAAATTATCACGAAATACCTTACTGGATTGTTAGGAATGACAGTCTATTAAAGCACCTGTAAAATCGTGGCTCCTGGTGTGCTGACATTTTCAAGAAAACTGCATTTTTCCAACGCGTTGGAAAAAAACTGGCTTTTTTCAAAAACTATTTTCTGAATTTTCTTTGCAATTGATTACACACCTCTGAAGGGGTACAAGCCTGCTAGACTGATTCTCTGACCTTCGTTTCATCTTATTGGGGTCAGTGAACCAGACTACAAGAACATGATAGGTTTTCTTGGTTTTTCCAGCATCTACAAGCCCAAAACATGAAACATGTCAGTTCAACAATATTTTCTATATTAAACATACTAATCCTCCAAATCCATTTATTTCTGAAAATTGAAGCAAAAGCGAATGTTGTACATTCCCTTTAAGAGCGTTTTTTTTATAGTGAGTTGTTCAACCATACATGTGTAATTGCGTTTGTAAGGATAAATAAAGTATTTTGAATTGAATTGAATTGAACTCTACCTTTAAACCAGTAGTTTCGTTTTCTGATAATGAAACCTACTTGAACAGGAAGTGGCAAGGAAGTGATGTGCATGATGGTGTCCCATCATAATTATGTGCAAACTGTCTCACCTGATTCCGAAAGGCGTTTCCTTTTCAAGATCAGTCACATGAATGTGGAAAGCATTATCTGATTTTATAGATTATATATATTTGAAACAATCTACAACATCGAAAATTAAGTAAGGGCCGAGTCGGCCATAATAAAATAAAAGTGAAAAAGCTCCTCCACCACCCCCTCTGCTAAAAGCCAGAGTGCTCAGAATGGAAATGGCGTCGATGAGGGCAACAAACAGAAAAATCCTGTTTATTGTTAACCCCTTAAGCACGGGGTGTTATGGGGACATTCCTCCACACATTCCTTTTGTGGTAGCGGGACTGCACAAAAGCAGCAGCTGTGGAACTACCCACTAGCCGTGTGCCACGGCATACCACAGCTGGCAACTGCATTCCAATGAGGATTAGCGGCCGCGGCCATGACCGCTTCCCGTGCGCATGGGGTTAAGTAAAAGTAAAGTAAAGTCTGTCACGAGCCAATGTGGCCCATCAGGCTGGTGTTTGTCTCCAGTTTCAGTAGCACGAAACAACTGAGAATGTTTCTGTTCCCCCTGGATGGGATGCTGGTCCATCGCAGGTTACTCCCCAGCTAATGCCAGTACCCATTTGTACTCCTGGGTGGAGAGAGGCAAGCGGGGATGAAGTGGCTTGCCCAAGGACACAACATATGGCCAGCAGTTGGATTCAAACCCCTGACCCTCTGATCAGGAGTCAAGAATCCTCCTAACCACTAATCCACACTCCCCCAGAAAACCAGATGTGCTGTTTGTTGTTAACATGACGGTACGGTTCTCACACTCCCCGAAAAATCAAAGCTGCTTGGCATGTATTGGTTTTCCAAAGCATTAGATATAGGCAGTGGATATTTAGCCGGATACAGCAAACCTTTAGTAAACGTTAGCTTGCCGGATATGCACTGAACATGCGCAGTTTAATACTGTTTTTTTTTGTACTACAGACCTTTTCCGGTGACAAATTTTAGTCTGGCTCCATGCCAACATTATCGTTGTAACTTCGTATTCACAAGATGGGAATCAGACCATTTTACTATTTCGGACTTTATTTCCCATTAAAAAAAATCATCCAGAGCCACAAATCTGAAAAATAAAATGTAATAGGCACTACTCTGCAATAAAATGTTTGAGACATGTTAAAAAAACAAAAGAAGAATATTTTTATTTTTTGGGGATGGGGGGAAAAAAACCTGAAAAATTTCGCCAGCAGGGATCGAACCCGGGTCTTCCCGCTCATGAGATCCGTTGCTTATCCACTAGGCCACAAGTGCTACACAACCGTTGGTGGTAATTTAATATATCTTATAATTCAGTCCTATCTTAGAGAGTACAGCGCCCTCTGTTGATAGGGATTGCCGCCGGCAATATATCCACTATCTTAGATATACAATGCGTGGATGCTTTTTTTGTCGTTAAATTCTCAAGCTTCTCATCATTCCTTATTTCTGCCAGGGAGAGGATCTTTGTTAAAATGTGCCTCTCTCTTTCGAAACTCTTTCTCTCTTCCTCTCTCTTCAAAACCAGATGCCTCGTCAGAAAACAGGTCTTAGCTGTTCCAATTCACGATTGTACTACTAGAGCTGTACTTGGACGTCATCAACGTGGGCTTATAGCAGATGTTTCCGACAGCTACAGTTATTTTCCTTCTGATATTTTACCCCCCCCCCCCAAATATTTGTAACGAGTGCCCTTCTTTTGTTAGAAAGTGCCCTTTTTAAAACAAAACTGGTGCCCTTTTTGAAAAAAGTCTTGCCCGTTTTTGTGCCATCAGCCGTTACTGGTGTGGTGCCTTTTTTTGAATTTTGCCTATATATTGCCCTGAAAATTACCATACATTGTCCGTTAGTGTGCATAATTGTCGGTTTTGAACAGTGCCCCCGTCGATAAATGGCACAGGACCTGCCCCCCCCCCCCCCCCTCCCACTATTTGATTTTTGCCCGGTATTATGGAGGCCAGTGTTCGGAGAAAAAAATGTGTCTACATTTCAGCACGTATGTGCAAGTGCCCTTTTCAAGAAATTCCCCCCCCCCCCCCCCCCCAAAAAAATTAATGACCTTGCTGTTCGGTACTGGACAGACTCTGACATGAGTGACAATGCCTACATTTTGAAATAAAAATAGTAGGCCTACATTTGGGTCTGAACCACAGAGCTGTATTTATAATAAAGAACTTCAGAAAGAATGTTGCAACTGATGACGCCACTTCAGCGGTTGTGTACAAAGTCTATGGAGAGTCAAGAACATTTTTTAAGTATTTCCTACAGTCATATGTCCTAACAAAATTGGGAGATGTTTCTCAGTCCCAGACTCATGTCTTACCATCATTTTTGCAATGACTGACCTTCATTGAGAATGAGATGATCATGATATATGAAGAAAAAAAACAGCGTCAGACCTAGCCCCATAAATGTGGCCTATTTACTGGACTGCCTCCGTAAACATAGGCCACACATCCACATGTACAAAAATCGTGTCGACTTTGCCAAATTTTGATTTTCACATTTAGGCTTAGTTTGTAGGGGTTTTTTTGCTTAAGAAGCATACTCACCCTCTTTATAGGCTAATCAGAAAGTGCTGCCTTTTTCAAATGTATATTTTTCGTGAAATTTCCAGATTCTTTTTTACACGTTTGCGTATCAAAATTTCAACATGAAATTTCACAAAAATTAGACATCTGAAAAAGGCAGCACTTTCTGACTAGCCTATAAAGAGGGTGAGTATGCTTCTAAAGCAAAAAAATCCTACAAACTAAGCCTAAATGTGAAAATCAAAATTTGGCAAAGTCGACACGATTTTTGTACATGTGGATGTGTGGCCTATGTTTACGGAGGCAGTCCAGTAAATAGGCCACATTTATGGGGCTACGTCAGACCTAGTCCGAGTAACTAGGACTCTACGGATTGCTTTTTTAACATTTGGACATGGTCGGGCGATAGTAGACATGTCAAATGTAGACATGATGTAGACCATGTCCAAAGTTTTAACATTTGGACATGGTCTACTATCGCCCGACCATGTCCAAATGTTAAAAAAGCAATCCGTAGAGTCCTAGTTACTCGGACTACGTCAGGCCCGGCCGTCAGGTTGCAACATTCTTTCCAGAACTTCTTTATTATACAGCTCATTCTGTCTATGGCCTGAAGGTGGAGGAATAAGAACACAACAAACAATCTTTAGAACAAGCATGGAGGAATAAGAATGGAAAAGTACTAGTACTAGTAGTAACGCTACTTACCACCGTGACTTCCGGGTAGGCCTAAGGCTGAACTCAAAATCTCAACATCAGTTCAATCTGTTGTCCTTGCTCTATGGTTCAATTCATTCAACATGGACGAAGAACTGTCTTTCCAAGTCAATGGCAAACCATGCAGGAATAGACAAACAAGTGAGGACTTGATATGGAGAAAGAATCTCGGTGTGTCGACTTTTTATGATTTCCTGAAAAAAAAGGAAAAAACAATTCATCGAAATGAAACAACGTTTCCAGTAACTGTGCCTAGACGGCCACGTGCAAGCGCGTCTAGTTTAGCAAATGGGAATTCCCCTTAAAATTCCCATCCCTAGAGTGGTTCACGACACGTCATATATTTATCGAAGAACATGCACGGCGGGAACCAGTCTACCCGAAATTTGCCCTTTGCCCCATAGACTGGCTACCGGTCCTTCAATTATCCTTCGGACTTCAAAATGGGGACAGGTACATGATGTAGTTTAATCTGGATCAATACTGCAAGCAATCTCACGTTATGGGATGTGTTGCAGGTGATAATGGACGTGGTACACATGAAATGGGTTGCCTTATTATCGCGGTACTTATCACGTTTCTCGTTTGGAATAGAGATTCCCACTTGAACCTTCCCGATTTGTCCAGTGTTTTGTGTAGTATAACTCTTCCTTTTCAAATTGATATAAAAAAATCCGACGGTGGTGTGGTTTATTCCGTGTACGATGCCTGTGAAAATAGACACACTCGGAGTGTGCGAACGGAGGTGGACTCCCTATTATCTCGGTATGCGGGAAGTGGTTTTTATAATGATCTCAACTTTTTTATTCATAGTTAATGCCACTTGGGGGAGTTCCGGCAACGCAAAAAGGGAAATTTCCCATGCCGCGATACAAATAGGGATGCCGCGATAATAGGGAGTCCGACTAATACTAGCCCGACTGCGTCTGGCCGTACAGTACTATCGCCAGCTCTGTAGTACGGCCAGACGCTCAATGCTTCCACACAGACAGGTTGAGGGCGCTGTTCATGATGCTGGTTGTGATTATTTTTTAGCTCCGCGCGATCGCGTTTTTAATCTATTTTTATTGAACTTTGGATTCACCATCTACATCTTTATTTGTGTTTTTTCGTCTTTTTAACATCTTCAAGCTTTGTAGCCTGTGCAATTTGGCACTTTTATCGCGTATTTTTAGTGATTTTCTACAATGAAAGTTTTGTCTTGTGTAATCAACTCGATGTTCATCGGCCATCTTGGATCATCGCCTTTTTAACAGTCAGTGACAGTCTTGTGTCTCCGTGACTTGTAAGCTTGTATTTTTATCTTGTACATTGGATGTTCGTGTGTTTTATGCTGCATCATGGCTCTGGGTTCATGTTGGGCATTTCTACCCCTCATCTTATTCATGAGCTGCACCAGGACTTTCTCCATACACGCCATGGACATGTAGAGCTCCGCACCGCTCCCGGCATTCATGCTCGACCATTGGGCTGCTCCACTGTCAATGGATAATGACGCATTCACAAACCCGGTGAGTTCGTTCCATTGTTCTTTCCACCTAAACCGGCATAGGCATAGGCCTCAACATTCGAACCAACTTATCCTTGACAATAAACTAAGCATCCACGCATGCCTCCTCGCACTGTTAGCTGGGGACTTGGAAGTAAATCCTGGCCCACGGCGCTTGAAGTATCCTTGTCAGATTTGTCATAAGGCAGCAAAGTGGGGCCAGAAAGCTATCGAGTGTGATCAATGTTGTGAATGGTTTCACGTATCCTGCCTTCATATGACTGACGAAATATACAACGCCCTCGTGGACCACCCATCATATACTTGGACCTGCTGTAATTGCGGTATGCCAAACTTTTCTACTACATTCCTAGGAAACTTGACGGGATTTGATTTCTCCAATAGTTTTAGTTCACTTGACAATAGTCACGATGGCGATGCGTCAATTGCCTCCATCGGAGATTTTGTCCCTGGAGAACCAATCCACTCTTCTAGCCCCACAAGGACACAAAATACTCATCCGGTCTCAAATGTCAAAACTAGAACACTTCCAAAACGCAAGTCTACCACTACTAAACAGCAAGTTTCTGACCTCAAGATCATCAACATCAACTGTCAAAGCATTCGTGCCAAACATCCAAACTTCGAAGCTCTTCTTGCCACAGAAAAGCCTGACATCGTGGTTGGCACGGAATCTTGGCTCAATAATTCTGTTGCATCCGGAGAAGTTTTCCCCCCTCACTACAATGTATTTCGCCGTGATCGTGAAAACATCAGAGGAGGAGGAGTTTTTATCGCTGTGAAAAATACATTCATAGCTTCAGTTGAAACAAATCTACAAACTAATTGTGAACTTTTATGGATAAGCATCCATGTTAAGGGATTGTCACCAGTGTACATAGGTGCCTTTTATCGACCGCAGTCTGCAGATTGTGAAGTTGTCAAGGAGCTGGACTTATCCCTCTCTCGTATTCCACCCAACGCTTCAACCTGGCTCCTGGGAGACTTTAACTTGCCAGATATCGACTGGGACACAGTTGCTTTTCGACCTTGTGGCCAGTACCCAGCTGTCAGCAAGTTAATGATTGACATACTTGATGATCACAATCTTCATCAGCTAGTGAAAAAGCCGACGAGGGATCAAAACATCCTCGACTTGTGCCTTACCAACAGCCCATCATCTGTAGACTACGTTCGGGTACAGTGCGGAATTAGTGACCACGATATGGTCATCATGGGAATGAAAATCAACCCCAAGATCTCCAGACCACCCAAGCGTAAAGTGTTCTTCTACAGCAAGGCAAATTTTGCTGGTGTAGATGAAGACATGTCAAAATTCAACAAAGGACTAACAGATAACATATTGAACTCTCACAGCATTGACGAACTGTTCGCCTCATTCAAGGAATCCCTGAGGAACTCTATTGATAAACATATTCCATCTAAAATGAGCTCCTCCCGGTTTACCTACCCCTGGGTCAACAGTTCCATCAAACGGGACATAAACATCAAAAAGCGACTCTACAACCGAGCAAGAAAGCATGGTACTACCTCCCACTGGTCAAAGTTCAAAAAATTCCGTAGACAAGTTGACAGAAAGATCAGGAGAGCCCACAAATCCTACATCAAAGACGTCATCGGGGCCAGTCTTAAATCAGAAAACACCAAACCATTTTGGAACTATGTCAAGTCTAAGAAGCAGGAAATATCTGGTGTCTCACCACTTCACATTGCAAACCGTATCATCTCAAGTGCAAAAGATAAAGCCGATGCTCTAAACCACCAATTCTGCTCAGTATTTACACGTGAGGATCGAACCAACATCCCAAACCTAGATGAAAGCCGTTTTCCTGACATCTCCGACCTGGTCTTCACCACCGAAGGAATCCAGAAACTACTGGCTGACCTAAAACCTCACAAGGCACCAGGCCCAGACGGTATAACAGCTCGAGTGCTGAAAGCCTGTGCAACAAGCATAGGACCAATACTCCGGAAACTTTTCCATAAATCCATCTCCACAGGAACTTTGCCTTCCGACTGGTTGACTGCAAACATCACACCCATCCACAAAAAGAATGACCGGTCTGATCCTGCAAATTATCGCCCAGTTTCTTTAACATCGATTATCTGCAAGATCCTTGAACACATTATTCATGGACATATCATGGGTCACTTTGAACAGCATGGGATTCTAGCCGACCAACAACATGGTTTTAGAAAAGGCAGGTCCTGTGAAACACAACTGTCAGCTTTGGTCAACGATCTACAAGTAACCTTAGATAAACGCAGTCAAATGGATCTCATCATCATGGATTTCAGCAAAGCCTTTGATACTGTTCCTCATCACAGACTCCTGGCCAAACTTAATCATTTAGGAATCCGGAACAACATTCATACTTGGATTGACTGCTTCCTCACCAAACGACACCAGAAGGTGGTCGTTGATGGCGAATCTTCACAACCATCACCAGTTGTGTCGGGGGTCCCACAGGGAACAGTGCTGGGGCCCTTGTTATTCTTAGTCTACATCAACGACCTGCCGAATGAACTATCGTCATGCGTCAGACTTTTTGCTGATGACTGCATTTTGTATCGGGAAATAAAGTCTCCTGAGGACTCTCAAATCCTGCAAAAGGACATTGACCACCTATGTACTTGGGAATCTATCTGGCAGATGGGTTTTAATCGGTCCAAATGCTTCTCCATGCGAGTGACACATAAACGGAAACCAACCTCCAACCAGTACACGATGGGTGATGATATACTTAGCGAAGTCGATCATCACACATACTTGGGAGTTGAACTTACTTCTGATATGACTTGGAATCGACACATAAACCAAATTGCAGTCAAAGCAAACAGAACCCTTGGTCTACTCAAAAGAACATTATCCAGCTGTGATAAACACACCAAAGAAATAGCATATAAGGCACTTGTTCGACCACTTCTGGAATATTGTCAAGTCATATGGGACCCCCACCAATCGAATACCATCAGCGTGCTTGAAAAAGTTCAGAGACGTGCAGCCAGGTTCGTCCTGAGGGACTACAGTTACTCATCGAGCGTCACTGCAATGCTCAAAGAACTAGGCTGGGACCCCTTGGAAGATAGACGCAACAGAGCCCGACTATGCACCATCTACAAAGAAATTCACGGTATAATTCCAAGTAATATCTCCCACCTGCAAATTCATCTACCCAGTGACCAGCAAACCACCAGACGTACTACCAGACAATCCAATAGCACTTTAAATCTCCAACGCATCCAGTCAAACAAAAACAACTATCTCCACTCATTATACCCATGGACAATCCCAGAATGGAACCTCCTACCTGACGCTACTAAAAACCAACCCACACTGAACGCCTTCAAAACCCAACTAGACAAGATAAACATCGGCCAACTCTCCACCCATGCGCACTTCAAAATTTAGTCATCAACCAGCACCATGACAGCGTTACCTGCACGTGATAGCCCCACCATAGGCGTTTGTGCAGTAGCATACAGATACAGATACAGATACACAGACTGAATTTTTTTCCCCGCTGATGTAGCGATTTTGCTACAGATTTTGATCGAGATTATCTTTTCATCCAGGACACAAATTTCCAAAGTTAAGGTTCTTAGTCGTAGAGCAACTCATACCTTTTCGAAAAAACGTTCTTTGGTCTCAATATTTTCATCCATCTTGCCAAAAGACGACTTTCAGTCATCATCTTCCACAAATATCGTCCCGAAAATGCTCCCCCATGCGATTTCAAAATGGCGGCCGCGCTGTAATGTGTGCATTATGCAGGCACGCTTGGGCAAGATAATGAATATGCATTATTTAGTTCA